TTTTAGAGGAAACTGGCGCGGCCCACGTTAACAAGAAATGCGCGTGAAGCGCGCAAAATTTGGGTTTTAGGCACTTTCAGGGGATGAAAGGGAATTTATAAAGGGGTGGGGAAGATTTTCCAAAGATAGATATTTTCCCATTGTCCCCCAGTGGTTACGCCAACGGGCAGCATAGATCAAAGGATTTATGACAGGTTTTTAAGTGGAGAAGGGTTTGCAGAGTGTTGTGAATCTGGTCATTATGATATCTTCCTTTTTATTCTTGTCTTTATTTTTTTCTTCTCTTTTTCTTTTCCTTTCCTTTTCCTCTTCTTTTTCCTCCCTCTCCCCTCTTTCTTTTCTCTTATTACCCAGTTTCTTTTCTCGTATTACCCAGCCCGGTACGACGGCTTGGTCAGCCCGGTAAAAACCGTCAGGGGAGGGGCAGTTTCCCCCTGCCCCCCACCCCGCGCCTGTTACGACACTGGCTAACACGCCAATCATCCCCCCACCCAATGAAAAATATTTTTTCTACGCCACTGGTCGACCGTGTTGGATTCTGTATGGATGATAATTCTATTATGGAATTGTAAAGTATGTGAGATAAGGTACTTCTTGGTATAAATCAGGATAAATGGTGCATGTCAAATCTATTTGCCAAACTGCTATATATGACGTATTGCATAAACATACGGTACAAACACACATATACCCATTATATAAACACTCCCTATATATTTGTGTCAATGACTCACCGCGTAAAACTCATCTTCATTCTAGAATTCATCTTGATACAGCAGGCGCGGATTTAGACCGTCGTACCGTTCGCCATGGCGAAGGTCAGATCAAGAAGGACTATCTTATAACAAAGATGTTATGTCCCAACACCTCAATCTGTTAAGAGAATTTTTGGCATCGAATGCACCGGACTCACTAAGAGTGTGTCCATATGTACAGAAGGAGTCCGATTCCACTGGAAAAATACTTCATGCCACCACCGACAGTGGCGTTAACAAGGGAAAGTGTGGGATTGCAACCCACCCTTTTCCGAATGAATAACGTTGTACCTCTCCAACCCCACTTTTCAAAATCTCAGTTATCTGTTGAAAGTTATACATTCGATAGATAAGTCGTACGTGTGAAACTAAACTGTTAGTTGAGAAGGTCGTATAATATTTAAGCAAAGTATCGTGTATCGATATAGTTAAATATAGTCAACTTTATACAACAGGACCGTAGCCAGGTTTTTCCAAGGAGGGTGGAGGGTTTCTGGGCGTGACGTCCACAGTCGAAGCCCCGGTGGGGTCGGCGAAACCCCCAAAACAAGAGGATTTTGTGCTTTATGGTTCTAAACAATGCTATAAATGCAGATATGTTTGAAAATGTCTGTTACTGGGTAAGTCTGCAGTGCATTAGTTAAGTTGAAGGACTTATTTGGAAAATTTAAAGAGGGGGTTTCGCCAGAAAAGAGGGGGGCTTGCTAGAAAATGGGGTTCTCCCGAACCATGTAAACACCCCTGGATACGGGCCTGTACAAAGTATGATACAAGAGATATTATGTTAGGTTTCAAAGTGTTTACCTACTTGCACTTTCGTTGTTTCTGTTAAGTTTCTGTAAAAAACCTTCCAGTGTTGATTCACCAGCACATGATCGATTTTAAGCATTATACGTGTCGACCTTTCACAATGTGTGGGGTGGGGCATTGAGTTAAAAAAATGAAGGGCGGGCGAGTGCTTTTGAGTTTATAAATTAAATTAAATCGTGCTGTAGTTATTTATTTCTATGAAAAGCCGGAAATGGGTAGGGTTTACTATTTTCAAGTGCCTACATTGGGCGTAGTGACCCATTACTCAAATAGTAGCCCATACTCTAATAGTAACCCACCCCTAAAAAACAATCTTTTTTAGGGGTGGGTTACCCAGAGCTCGATATTTTGAAAATGTTCGGGCCTCAGCCCCAACTATATTGGGGCTGAGGTGATGTGGACTCTTCACGGACACATGGGCGATGATCACTAGGGAAAGGGAACACGTCCCCCACCCCACATATTTGTAAGGGAAAGGATTGGTCCCCCTTCACTTTTCGGGAATCAAGTAGATATGCCTGAAAATTGTTGAAATAAACTGCATAAATAACTCAGGTTTTAACGAAAGGGCGCAGTAGGCCTACAGCCAGAGTAAAATATACTTTATAGCAAGATACCGGTATACTCTGTTTCTGCAAAATGCGTTTTTCATCCAAAATCACTTTGAAATGCGGGACCGTACCGTACGATGCGAGACGGTTGGTAACTATGCTATCAGGTCATCTGCTTGTAGAATGCTACAAGACCGTACTGGTAAACATTCTTTTTCTTTTGCCGCTCCAAAATTATGGAACTCTCTTCCACCTAAACTTTGGATACTGATGCATTCAAACCCTCCTTAAAACGTATATCTTTAAACCAATAACCCTTAATTTCATCTTTAGGTGCTAGTGACCAATAAGATTATCCTAAAAGGTGCTATACAAATTCTCCAATTTATTAATAATTTGGACTGCGTTTCCGATGCATTGAATCCCAGCGTCGAAATTGTTACACACTGATCCGTTCTTCTGATTGGTTCGGTAGGTTTTACAATCTGGATATTCAGATTCCGTGTGAATGCACTGCAAGTTCTGAGCTCTTATTTTTTATAGTGTTTCTCATCAACCAGTCAAATAAAAATGTTAAAAATTCCTTAGACAAAACACATCCCTTTTTAACACTAGTATTCGAACAAGTTTGTTATCTCACATTTAGGGCTGCACAATCGCTGTCTGTAGGCTTACATTAGAACTTCCCTTATAATCTGTCATAAACTTCCTCACGAAATTTTTTGTTCTGTTCTAAGAATTTTATCAACCATCTGCTTTAGTTTGTAATTAGATTTTTCCAAGTACTTTGCTTGCAATTGGTACAAGTGCTGTACATCTCCTCCTTTGGTAGCTTGGTGACCAACACATTTTCCAGTCTTTTGGTAATTTTTCATCCATGCTCAGGGCAGTAGGGGCAGATGGAAAAAAAACAGTGCAGCAAAAAAAAAAATATAAACTTTCTCGACGTTGTGGTCCAGGCCAGGTTGTCAGAAATAGCACTAACCAACGTTGCAGCGACATTAGTAAAAAATTACGTTTTAAATGTTATATATTATTATTACTAAAAAAAAAAATGTTTCTCAAAAAATGTTTCTACAAAAGAAAAACCGGTTTAGTATACCAAACTCTTAACCTTAAGAAAGTCAGACTGTTTGCTAAGCAAGTGTCAAAGCTACATTCAGTCACCTTTTCTGGTTTGAATTATATCAAATATCACGCATTCCAAGTGGCAAGAAATAATTACATAAAATGTATTTACTGTACCTATATTCTTGAATAAATCTTTATTAGCACTATAATCGGGTTTAATTTTTTGTAGATATAATGAAAATGACATGGTTATTCTGTAATATCATTTTGAACAATGGTTAACTACTTATGCAGACATTGGAAAAATCTATGAAATACTGTAGCCATATACAGTATTAACAATATGTACTTTAGTTATATTGATAAACATTCATTGGTTTTCACAATCACTATTTGATAATTTACTTTAGTTATATTATCTACGTCATAGAAATTTTATCTGGACTGTATCATCAAACTTTCATAGCAATCAAAATGTTTTGAACCAATAATTTATATATGTACTGTTCTGTGGTGTCACAATATTTATGAAAATCTTTTTACTAATAAGAATATTTTGATGTATTTATTATCAACTGTTATAAAATCTTTTAATTAATAATTCTTTGAATATGAAAGAATTGTATATTGAAATGAAGTAGGCCAAGTAATGTGACCAGAATCTGAAAATTAAAAAATAAAGTTAACCAGAAGCAGCTGTTGGAATAGCGCCTAATAAAATCTATTTTATATTTGTAAAACCTATATTAATTTCTTATTATTGACTATACTTCAATATTACAATATACAATATTTTAATAATAAAATAATAATAATTTTAATAATAAATTTAATCTAATTAGGCCTAAATGTGATCATTTTGTAAGGATCCCATTTTCTTTACATGCATTCTTTATAATTTTAATATTCTTTTCAAATACAGTACTGTAATGGCAATCAAAATCATGACAGAGAAAATGTGGAACAGAGTTGAAAGACATTGAAACGTATGTCCGTTGCTTATGCTTGCAGGATACGATCTTCATTAATGACATTCACACTGCCTAAGCTGCCAATCCGTACTTAAAAGCACCTAGCTAGGCGGTGATTGCTGGCAGTGTTGTCTTGGGTGGTGGTGCCTGAATAGCGGGTACAGAACCTGCAATAGGAGGAAGCAGTATAGGTGAACACAACAAGCAGTAATATGAACTTCAGAAAAGCATGGTTATGTCTAAGGTTCTAGTGGTATAGGATAACCTACAGGTAAATGTTATAGTTTGGATTGGCTTGAATTTGATTTCCACGAAATCCACAAGACTTATTTCCAGTCGGCACCTCTGGGAAGGGCAGCAATAAGAATTGAACCAGGGACCTTGAGATCTCCACGGTTCAGCGCACACACAGTGGCTCCCACCAGGTTAGCCGACTGAGCTGGCTGATATGGATGCCAGGGGAGAGTTGCTTATGACTAGCAACCTGTAGTAGTTTTAGGCAATCAAGTATATGATCTAATAAAGAATAATTGATACAATGGCTTCTCTTCATCTTTTGTGATACTTATTACCAACTTAATACGCTAATACTTAAATAATTCATTTGAATGACTTATTTAAATTACCAGTGGTATGAACTAGTGATTGATCCACAACCAGACACACTTTAGACACTTCATTTAAAAGATTATAGTTCAGAACAACTGCTAAAAGAATTCATTCCCTTCAAGGAAAACGGCTGAAGGGACCTTCCCACGCCATCCATCAGACAATCTTTCACTACTAAAGTCTGAAACACATGCTTCAATCCAGCTGATTCACCGGGAGAAGGGGCCCTTCACTATGATCTTGCTTGCCCCATTATTATGCTTTGTGTCTTGTGTTGAATTCATATTTTAGAGAATGCACAGTAACAAACAGATGCAGTTTATCATTTGTATGACTTATAAGTGGAAGGACTAAGAAATCAGTTGTTGAGTATACAGTACTATAATACAGTAGTTTCAGTACAGTCATTCATTGGCATGATTTAAGCTACAGTACCTGTAGTAAGATGTAGGTTAATGTCATTTGTATGCATAAAGCCCTGTTAGGACTATCAAACCTTATTTGACAAAAATGTGCGACATACCTAAATATGGTCATGATGACATGACATCAAGACCATATATAGGCACATCATGACTGTATATGGGCATACAACAGTGTTTTCTCAAATAAAATCTGATAGTCTGAACAGCACTTTAAACAACAAGTAGTATGGCTTTGGACTGGCCAATCCAGTTACTTACTTGGCACTTCCTGTGGAGTTGTAATAACCTCGCTCTCAACAGCCTCTTCATTTGCTGAAGAAGAAGAAACTCAAATTATCAAGGTAAATTTGAATTTATAAAGTGGCAGTAAAATACTGTTTCTAAATTAATCCCCTAATAATATTCAGTTGAAAGACATTCAAGTCTCAAACTGGAAATGCCATGTTATGGTAGAAAATTATTCTTAAGCCGTGTTCACTCTGAGCTCTTTTTGGTCAAAATAACCAAGTACCTGGTTGCTTTGACCCAAAAAAAATAAATAAATCACTGCAAACAGTTTAGTTAACATTCTCTTTGATTAATCATGCTGTAAACGAACCTTATCAAGGAAGAACTACAGTTGAACTTGCCTAAGTCGAATCCAAAACGCCATCGAAATATGTTCGACTTAAGATAAAATTCGACTTTACAGATTGTTAATTAATAGAAAACACAACAATTTAGCATGTAAAATAAGATCAACTTAGAAATTATTCGACTTAGGCACAGTCGACTTAGACAAGTTTAACTGTACACTACTTTTTTAACTGCTTTTTTAACTGAAAACTAAAGCTTTGCCTACAGTATCAAATTTTATGTGACAAAATAATGTGATGTGCCCATATATGGGTACGGTGACGTCATATCACATATCAAATTGTAGCAAAAAAAGTTGAACGTGTTCAACTCTATGTTTTATGTGAAATTTGATAGTAAAGACAATGCTTTAGAAACAGGGCTACCACAGAAGTCAGTCTTTCTTAAGTCAGGTTGTCTTCCCTACTAATATGAGCAAGCTAACATCACCTGGAAACTAAGCCATCTCCAGCAGATCCAGATTGTCTGCATGTTTTTACTACTGTATTATTAATATTAGTATTTGTCTCCGCAGAAAAATACAGTAACATGTGTTAAGAAAGGTAATTAAATCACACCTCTCTGAAGAGATCTGACTATGTAGATACAATCAATAAATATACTGTATTTCTAAACTGTACTAAAATCAACTTATTTGTAACTAATTAAGGCACTACATAACAGATTTCTATGCAATTGTTAATTATTTGGTATTATGCTCAATACAATCACGATGTATGAAAAAGTTTTTTCTTGTTAGCTGACTAAGTAAACACTACAACAAGGACAGAAACATCTTTATCAATAAATTCTATGTAAATACTGTATTAGATACACAACACCCTGATCAGTTGAAAGACCATCTGTATATTGAATAACATTGAACCATGCTAAAACAGAGTAAAAAACAAACAAAATTCAAACATGGAAACATAAATGTGGTAAAAGTAGCACCAGCAGTAACAACAGAAGCAGCAACACACACCAGCAAAACAAGCAGAAATCTTTCTATCTAACCTTTGTCTAATTAAAAGCACAGTAAAATAAATATTTGCCCAAGAATACAGCTAACAACGCAACTATTACAAGTAACCTCAAATAGTTTCATCTGGTTTCTGGATGTATGAACATGGAAAATTCTTGTAAGTAAACCAATAACATACAGTACCTACTGTTTGTAATGTTTTGATCTGTTGTCAATAGATCTTCATCAATGACCGGGGAACATCAACAACTAGCAAACCCAGTCATTGTCTGATGAAGATCCGTTGACAACGAATCAAAACGTATAAAAATAAAAATATTTTTCTTGTAAGTAAACCAATAACATACAGTACCTACTGTTTGTAATGTTTTGATCTGTTGTCAATAGATCTTCATCAATGACCGGGTAACATCAACAACTAGCAAACCCAGTCATTGTCTGATGAAGATCCGTTGACAACGAATCAAAACGTATAAAAATATAAATATTTTTCTTTATTACCTTAACTGTTTATTGTTTAATGTGGACTGTCTATTTTTTTTTTTTAATTAAAAAAAAAAATGTTACAAACAGTACATATATTATACAGTAGGTTTACTTACAAGAATTTTCCATGTTTATAATAAGTAATATTTTTGAATAAGTCCTAATGTACCACCTGATTATAGTGCTAATGACACACTTACGTTTTTTTTAATAAATTAAATAATTAATTTTTTACTGTGAATAATAATGATAAGTGCAGTGGTGTTAAGTCTCAAGTAAATTTTAGGATATTTAGTTGTTACTTAGAAACCAATTATATTTCAATTACTCTTTAATCAGTTTATTTTAGAAAGTGAAGCACAAAAGGTTTCTTGTTTTTATATTTAAAATCATTTTGCAGTATGGTAAGCAGAAATTTAATATTACCATTATTACAAACCCTTTCTTTTGTTTAATTGCATTATTAGCCAAATAAATTAAAAACCAGTTGAGGATTATTAACATATAAATAATAATTTATTATTTAAAAGATGCCCTTCCAATAAGATTATAGTGCTATAAACAGAACAAAATGAAGCACAAAGCATATAATTTAAAAAGCACAAACATTTCATAACTTAAAAAAAGAGAAATTAACTTTTATATTGAACATTAAAAGTTAGTATATACAACGTTTAAATTATATTTGTGATAAACTAATTCATTACAGCAACTTTAAATTTAAAACTGTAACTTAAAACTGACAATTCCTATTTACTACAAGTAAAGACTATATAAGAAAAGCAAAGAAAAAACAAAACAAAAATCTATAAAAATACTGCCTTGTTAGAAAACCAAACTCCAAATTTAAAAAGGTACAGTAAGCTGACCAACGGGTATACGTTTAATACAGACACAATACCTTTTGACATCTCCTGTTTTTGATTTGCCTATAAAATCGCATTGAAGAAAAACAAATCAGATTCTACAGGTACAGGTATGTATTAAAATCTAGGGCAGACTGCTATAATATGTTCTTTGCTAAGATAATATATGCTGAGTATAGAAAAACAACCAATCATTTAATATGAACTGTGTTCTTTAAATGCTCATTATATGTAAATTGTTATGCAATGAATGGTTAGTTCATTGAATTTTATGTTGCATACTCCCATGTAAACTTGTTGCAAATGAAGAAAAAAAAAGTTGCCTAATCTTGGCCTGTTGAGCATTCCACGCATCTTTGGACTGGGGACCCATACAGTTCAATGGCGTTACAATACTGTACTTCATCACTATTAATCATCCATCTGTCTGACTCAACAATGTTTGCACTAACTGTACTTCATACACTATTAATCGTCCATCTATCTGACTCAACACTGTTTGATCATACTTTGTCTGACTGAGTATGCTTGTGTCAGACTTATCTGAACAAACAAATTATATGCATTCATATCTGTTAAAAGTCAGATAAAACTCTACTTAATCACACAAAGTCCAACCATTGTCTTTCGAGTCGAACAAACAAAAGTCTGAAAGGGTACAGCAGTGAATTTTGAAATGAGTTTTCTTACCAGCTTTTTCTTTATCCTCTTCGTGCTCTTCTGCCGCTGTCTTGTCGGCTCTGAAGAAGATCCTAGCACTGCTTAAACTGTAGTAAAGCAGATCAAACTCCTATAAAAAAAAATATGAAAGCAGTTACATAATGACTCGTTGAACCTTCCCCCTAAGCCCTGCCCTTGAATACTGTTGCTAAGCTTCCACAAAACTTTCTGAGTGATCAGTTTGATTGTCACTCCCGAGAACAGTCCAATGTGAATGCAAAAATAGTGGACCGATTATTGACTTGCAATCCCAAAAGTATGGCTTTCTTTTCTGAAACAGCCAGCACTTTAGATATTAGTGCATACATTTATAATAAGTAAGGCACAACATAATATAATAAGTCTTATATAGCATGTAATAACATAATCTTGCCTCTATGCACTTTATGTGAACAAAAAGAAAAATAATGATGAAATATCCTACTGCTACAAGAAAAACTAAGTCAGATTTTCAGAAAACTAAACAAGAGGAGATAAATATGATGTGAAAATGTGGGTTTTTTTTAAGGGACTTCTTATATATTTCAATAAATATATTTGTTTTATATACCAAAAAACAAAACAAGTTATAAATTCAAATTGTTTTCATACCCTCTGGTATGTTTCTAATCGTTTGATAGTTAAGCTTCCTGTCTGCATAAGTTTCTCATCCTCCACTTGAGCTTTCTTCACGCCTTCCTTCTCTTGTGCATACTTTCTCCGGACTGAGTGAAACCAATGAAGCGAATCAAAATCTCGATATTGGTCCAAGAGTTTTAAGATGTAGGCAACACCTGCAAAAAAATTTAATAATATACATAAGTCAACAGTCTAATCTTTGTGTCAGATAGAGCCACAGTTAAAAAAAATTATCCTTTAGTTTCCTTATACTGTATATTCAAATTAAATAGATATTCTACAACATTTCTTTTTATGTTGGGATGCTGTACATTATGGTGAGGATTTACTACTCTCCCTCCCATTTATGTATGTGCATAAGAACAGCACTGCTTGGTGCTCCTACCCACGAAATGCACAATTAAATTAAAGTACCAGCCACAAAAATAGGTAAATCATTCCATTTCTGTATTAGGAGGGGGTCAGGGTGGAAATTGATTAAGTCAAATGGAAGTGCCAATATCTAAAAAACATTAACCCTTCCTCTACGCTTGCTTACCCATGGCAAAGCCATCATCTGTAAAGGCAGCGCCAACCTTGTTTTTCTTGTTGAGCTTTTCTTTGCAACCAATGGAATACTCCACAAAGTTGAGACTCTGCATTAATTAATATAAAATAAATACTAAATATAATAATAATAATTATTATTATTATAAGTGACATTTATAGAGCGCTCTATGCTAGCAATCTGACCCCAGAGTGCATACAATCAATCATATTAAACAATACAATACGCGTCATAATAAAAGAGAAATTCATCCAACAATGTACAATACTAATTCTAAAAAAAAAATTTCAATATTTATCATTCAATATAAAAATAATTCACCAGAAAAGTCAAGTTATAATAATTTCAATTGGTTACAATTATTCAATTAATTTACTCTATTTACATAATAATTTATTATTACAAAAACATATAATTACAAAAATATAGTATATGGCTGAGGCTATCGGGCAATATAGGAAAGACAAGTATTAACAATATTAATAAAAAAATTACAATATATAGGAACATTTATACAAAAAAAAATATAAAGGTGAAGATTATTTATTGATCTCAATAAATCTAAATATTCCAATTCAAAGCTTAATGCTACACTGGTTAAAACTTTAACACAATATTTTGAATAATTTATTTATTTAAGTTTATAATACAGACTATAATATTGTAATTCCAAATTACAACTACTGACTTTCTAAAAATACATTCAAATTTGTAGTTCAAAAAGCCAAAAATTATGAATTTTAATATATATTTATAATGAAATTGGTAAGCTAATTGCTACTTACAAGAGGTGGTAAGATCATGAAGAAATTTCTAAGATGCATGTTCTTGGAGGTTCTGAACTCAGGAGAAAATACATCCACCAGCATCTACAAAAGGAAAAAAATTACAGTGAAAACAAAAGAGCAAAACGCAAACATAATATGGCACAATGCAGTGGGTCACACTTCCACAAGCAAAAATCTCTTAGAAGCTAATACATAGATTTGGCCAAATTGCGTTCCAGAATCTACTCGAGGAGGTGACCTTAACGTTCTAGCATGCGCAGATGACTTTTAGTGACGTCACTGCATTCTATGTCCTACCATCGTTGTGCAATCGAAAGCTAATTAATATCAAATGAGATGTCTTCAGAATAACCAGATCTCCTGGAAATAAATTCTTCCAACTTACATACTTATTCATTTCATGTACTTTTTTTGTATGGTATTAATGTACTGCACACAGACTGTCTCTTCAGATGTGTATAAGAGACAGTATATATATATATATATATGATTTATTATATTAATAACAATTTATAAATAATTTATTTATGTATAAGTTCTTACCTTAAAGTACTCTGTGCCTTCTGCAAAGTTTTTAGCAAGGTTTCCAAGGACATTGTCTAGGTTGCTAAGAAAAGAGAAATTTAAGGTGAACCCAGGAGACATAAAATTTTGAACTGATTAAACTGATACATTTATGCAAATTCAAGTATTTAAGTATTAGAAATATTTTGCATGCCTCGTTTCTTAGGACTATGTAAATACCTAGGCTTTAAGTCAGGCACACATTGCCTCCGGCTGACAAATTTACCTCCCTTCTCTGTGAGTTCTACTGACTAAATTAGATCGTCATTAAAGTGTATGCACCTCGTCGCAGTGCACCTTCCATGAAATTGTGCCAGCCAACGACTGTCAGTGTAGCAAATTGTTCAGCTAACATTGTCATATAAACAGAGAACTTAATGTGTCAAAGCCTTTCCATTACATTTGTATAATTACAAAACACAAAGCACTGTTTGTTTAATTTACTTTCTTCATTCATAATTTATTTTCACAATCATTACTCTAGAGTTTTAACATTTAAAAATTGTGTGTAGGCCTACTAATCTACTGTTATTACTGCCTTAAACTATCTCCCCTGCCTTAAAACAAACAAACCTTGCAGCATTTTGCGTTTCTTCCGACAGATTCTCTACAGCACACAGCTCCTCAAAATTGATGATGTCATCAACATCTGGGACAAACCTGCAAATAATTACAAAACTTGAAATATAACTTAAATATGTTTCAAATAGACAAATATACAATATGTTTAGTTAAATATGCATTTATTGACATGTTGTTCCATTTAATTTGTGTTTAAAATATTTATAAATTGATAAAATATTAAAGAACAAAACAAAGATAGTATACCTTATGGCATTGCTACAGCAACGTAGACCACCAGATCTGATCATACGAATATAACCCATTGCATTACCTGTAAGAAAGCCATGTGTATGTAAGTTAGTAAAAATCTCATTGGTTGTTTTTTTTTAAACATCAACAACTACATTTAAATTTCTATTCCTTTACTCCTCAATGCCCCTACAAAAAGCAGAGCGAGAAAATTAAATATTGTTTGAAGTGTATGTAATTTTTTCTATCTTTTGCCAAAAGTCTTACCGATCTGACTTATCAGGTTGCGGAATTGATCTAGATAGCTATCACCATCAGGCGTGAGGCCTAGTTTGCGGATGCCCTTATTGAACCGGTCTGCACGTTCAAATGGGTACATCTGATTGTTCTCGTCTTTCACTTCCTTGAAGTAGCGGCAGTCCTACATGAAAAATAAAAAACAAAACAATGAGTTAAAATACAAACAACGTAAAAAGAATTACAGACAAAAGAGCACAAATCACAAGTTTTATTTTTGACAAAAACATGTGACATGCCTAAATATGGTCATGATGACATCACAACATGACTATATATAGACTACATGTGAGCATACAGAAGGTTTTTTTTTTCAATGAAAATTTGGCAGTGTGTACAAATCTGTTGGCAGTGTGGATATCTGGTAGGTTGTAATACCAAGAACTGATTCTAGCTGCTTATGGATGACAGCCCCCAGGGAGTAGTGGTAGCTCCAGACACTTGCCGACAGGGAGTCCGACATGGGGTCCGACATGGGGTCCTAACCAAGTGGGTCAACTAGAATCTCAGACAGAATCTCTGTTTCTTAGTATGGCACAACATTGTGCTATATAGACAGCATGCTAGGGACGGCAATCAAAATTACTTTATTTTATTTATTTATATTTATTTATTTCGGTATAAACATCAAAATACAATTGGTAGCACAAAGGCTAAAAAAATTGTATGTACAAAATATTAATTACAATTATATAAAAATATAAAAATCATGAAATATTGCACAAAGGCAAACATAAGTCATACAAGCTTGGAAAAGGTAAATTAATATTATTCGTTTGATAACCTCGTAATGGTGTCAGATGACAGGGGGTAAAGGCCTTCCCCATCCTTGCACCCACTGCAGGGAAATAAGGATGTGTCCCACGGGTGTTTGATGCACTGAACAAAGGCAATTATGTTAAGCACATAGAGGCAGTTAATTGCAGTGTACTATATATTACACTACAGTATTTAACATGCATAAGTTTTCTATTTGTTTTGTAATACTTTTTATCGTAAACTTCAAAAACCTCAGTTGTACTTGTATGTAATAATATGTATATATTAAATAAACATACAAGACTAATAATGGATAGAATTACAATAGGATAATAGATATTTCACCCCAAATGTGCACGTATGGGTCATATATAATTACTCATGGCACCACACATTTCACAAACCTTTATCAATCTGGATTTGATGTGCTCATCATACATGAACTGTGAGAAGATGAAGAACTTCTTACGCAAGAACTGATAAGTGAAGTTGACTGTCGTGTTCATGATGCCAGTACCATGAGTACGGATTGAGTTCGCTATGTGACGGATATTTATGGTGTTGAGGTGTTTGTTTGAACTTGACCGCTCCACAAAAATCTGAATAATAATGTTTTCCATAAAATTTCCATAAATGTAAAAACAATGTTTCCAAATGAATACAGACAAAAATTGTAGAACTAATAAATGATTACTAAATATTAAACACATTTGATTTTTAAAAAAAGTATGTCACAAAAAACAATTGAAAAAAAGTTCTAACACAATGCAATGTTTCAGTAAATGAGATTCAAATTGTATTCACAGATGAATTATTGAGCCAGCAAAAACAGAATAACATCTCACCTGGTTGTTGACATTGTACAGGTATTTGGAGACAAAGATATGAATGTTTCTCATAATCTCAAGAACATCTAAACCCTGCATTTAAAATTAAACATTAAATAGTTTTTTTAATGGTTAATTTACAATATTATTATTTGCAACAAAATAAAAACTATGGGCCCGTTCGAGCGAAAAACGCAAACCATATTTCGGTGAATTCACCGGTTAATCGCGCCGAGCACACAGCGGGTGGTCCACCGTTCGAGCAAATTTTAGCTCATGTCGAATACCGTGTAACAAAACTATTCCGGAAGTAATTTTGTAAGGTCATTCAGAAACACCAATCCCATCAACCCATTCTTTGTTTACTTCTGCTTGTTTAAACGATACGCGGGAACGATTTGTATTGAAGTTTAATTCTCTGAATACTGTACTGTAATGGTAATTTTACAGATTGAACGTGTAGCTATGCTAGTAGCCACCATTATGGCTACAATGATGCGATGTTATGTGGATGGATTTACTGTCCAATCCAACTTTGATTTCGGCGTGAACATGGGGAGGCGAAGAAGAGCGCGACGACAGCGGGTACTTGCTGTGGACGAACCATTTGGCAAAGCAATTAAGGTTGATTTGGTGGTCAAAATTGTCGCGGATAATCCAGATGGTAAGGTAATTAGGTGCGTGTCCGAGCGGTTTTAGAAAGTGTGTACCGGTGAATTAACTGGAAAATCGCACGGATATTTTTTCGCTCGAACAGGCCCTATTTTGAGAGACAATATGCTAACCTAAAGGTCAGGTGCCTTTTAGACAAATGTATCCTATTAAATTGTGGAAGAATTTGATCGTAAGGCCAGATAACCAAGGTGGGAAGACATTGGGATAAATGTTGCAGTAATAGCATGTAGGTGGCCTGAAAATGTAATGGCTGATATTTAGCCAAAGAACTAAAAACCAGGATTGCTTTAAAAATTAAAATGTTATTGAAAAAGACCATTTAGATAGCTTTTGGTTGTATATATTTATGTGAGTGGAAAAAACAAATTTTCAAAACTTTATTTTCCTCTTATTCTTAACAGTGACTCATTGCTTAATACACACCTGTTCCAAGGTCTGTGTTGGTAGATGTCCTTCTGTCATATGTAGCCCGTACTTCTGGGCCGCTAGGTTGCGCATCTCAGCATATGTCTTCCAGTCATGCAATGCGACGGTAGTCAGTTTATAAAATGTCTTATCAAGGTAGTGAGTGACATGCGCTGGAAAGATAATGAAAAAAAAACTTAAGATGCACATAAACATCTAAATTTATTGCTACATTTTAGCTACTTTCAAATGATGCTTTCCTGTGGCCACATTTTTGGGATCAAGGCTACCAAAACATAGCAATGAATCTGTAGTAAATTGTCAGCTAAGAGAGGACAGAGGGTAAATGCTCAGTACTACTGAATTGTTAACTGAATATGTCAGCACAATATTATATTATTTTCTCTTAAATTACCACATTTCCCAATATTTACACAAACCTGTTATAAATTATATGCTTTTGATTATTATACTTCATATGTTATGCATATACTTTAATCTATAATTCTACAATGTAGTGTAAGTATACCTTTGACATTGATGTAGTGGTTGAACATGCGAATGGGCTTCATCTTCAAGAAATGAGTGAAGTCCTTAGACGTGACTTTAAACGGATTCATTTCACCTACTTGAAGATGTTGGTGGATGGAGAGACGTAGGTCAGTCTCAACACTGCGGCACAATGGACCAAGAAGATGCTACAGTAAGAAATTCCAGAATCAATGCATAGTCATGCATACACTATTAGATTATTGCCTGACATACTCAATCTCTGATAAGAAATTGTTTGCAAAAGTATAGCATTATCAAACTTACAACAAGGAAAGAAGCATTATTTTTTTGATATACAGTATTGTATTATATATATTACTTTTATGGTCTCTTTTCTTTTTCAGAAAAATAAGTTTTCCACTATTAGCAGATGCAGAATCATCACTCATTTGGATACAATATGTCAGTCTTATTAAGCGCATCAGGAAAGGATTCGATGAGCTTCACAATATCATCCGTCATTACTATATACAAAACATCCATTTGTGGATCTGTATTAAGTGTCTTAGCAGGACATCAACTTACATCTTCTAAATTTTCCTCAATTTCCTTGAAGAAAGCAGCTAAGAGATCCTCATTTGATTCCAAATGATGAGAATGCTTCATAGGAGCAACGCAATCTGCTAATGCTGCAAACATGTACTGAAAATAAAACAGATATCCATATTATATCTGATATTAATGCTGGCATCAATACAAAACTGGCAAAATAATTATATTCAAATCTCTGGTCAAAAGGATCAAATTTACAACCTTTCAATACAAATACACAAATATATAAGACCATTCATTTTCCAATTTAAATAAGTTATTAAACTATATGTTTAAAACAGTAAGCAATATATTAGCTATTTAAAAAAAAAATTTATTTAAAAATGTTACTATTTTTAGGTAAATTACAAACTTTCAGAGGACCCAGGCTACTTACGTGAAGGCGATGGGCATCGACAGCATTCGCGTACCGGTCAGCAACATAGATTGGGAAGATGACCCTATGCCAATACACAAAGCTGCAATCACAAGCTTCTTTCAGCCTTTGCAGAAAGAATCAAAATGATTATAATACTGTATGTATTCAACATTTGATTTCATTTATTACTTAGTGAGTAACTTGTGGGATTTAACAAGAGAATCGTTTATGGTTACAAATTTAAAAAACAGAATTTTCTACAAATTGTAACAAGAATGATAGAGATGTCCAAAAGGGGGGGGGGGAGAGAAGGGCGAAAGGAGAGTCAAAAGTGGGCCGATTGAGATAACACTATCCTAGGGGATCCAGGGAATGCCTCTGCGAAATTGTTGGTGTTATAGATGCCAGAAAACCTCTGAGGCGTTTTGGGTGATCAATTTTTTCTTTTTCTTTCTTTCTTTTTTTAACTTTCTAAAAGGGGCCCCCTTCCCTAAATCTGCCCCTGAATATATAGATATAAATATCACAGGTAAAATAGAATACTAGTCTGCCTTACTTTCCCCTTAGGTCACTCATCACTTCCATCTTCATGAGAATGTTTCTAAAATTAGCAAATTCATCATCCCGAAATGCTTTCTGGAAAAAAAAAAAAAAAAAAAAAAACACAAAATGATGAACAAAAAAAATTACGTTAAGAAACTACAGCACATTTGCACACAAAATATATTACTAAAGAATTACTTTGCTTGTGTTATCACATGGTATAAAGCAGCAATCAGCCATATCATAGTTTATCATATCTATGCCAAAGGCAATATATAAACAATCAACCAACCTGGGGGCACAGATATCAAAACTTATACTAAAGTTTTTTGATTTGTTGCCTGGGCCAAAATGAGAGAGGTGAACCTTATGCCATCCACCCATCTCCTTAAATATTTTACCCACCAGGCAATTATAAAAAAAAAAGATAATCAGAAAAGTAAAATTCACCATTTGCGATCCAACCGCCATTGCTAACTTAGCAACAAGAACTCTCTCTTTAGTTGGTGCACCACTAATTGCGTTCTCAACCAGGACTAAGGCTGACAGAACATCCTGAAATCAAATGCAACTATTACTATTATTCTACTCATATTGTACAGATATTTTGATTTCAGGTAAATATTCATAAAAGGTTAAGATTTTATGTGTATGCATAGGGAAGATAATTATGTAGGACCTCAAAGAGAGACAAGATTTTCAGGTTTACAGACTATGAAACACCTTCTCAGAAGTCCTCAGATTGCCTTGGCAGCATCTAATGACCCTGCCCAAGATTGCGTTCAATATATAGTAAAACACAATATTTATTTTGAGTTTGGTGGATATGAGAAGAACTGGACTACTTCGGTAGAAGTGAATAATCTTTTTGAAAAAAATTAAGAAATATAACAATTTTCCAGGCACCCAATAAAACTGGAGGTTTTTAGAAACACGACTATTAAAATTTTAAATAGTAACAATGATAAAATCAATTTATTTTAAACACAATACTCACCAATCTCTTATCACTGTACTTCTTATCCGAAATTATGCGTTTCTGTAAAAAAGAATTACTTTGTATAATACACATAATCATATTTTCACCAATTATAAAGGTAAAAGATGAGATAAAAATACACCAATCAATCAATTCATAAATAAACAAATTACCATTAGCAACAATGAAAGGGACACATACCTGTAAGTCAACATTGCTTTGTTTCAATTTAATACAAGTTTATAACATTTCTAAATGTGTAATATGACACAAGTGTATGAAGATGAAATTCTCTTTTACCTTTGCCGTGTTAACTGCAGACATAGCCAAGAACTGCAGATGTTGTACAATGTGAGTGATGGACTCGGCAATCACCATGGTCCGACGATGAAACGTAGCTTCAATGGACTGAAAATTTAAATACAAAGTATTCTGTTATAATTTCACCACATTATTTTATCATCAAGAATTAGAAAATCTTCACCATTAAGAAAACCATCATCACCCTATGGATATAAAAAAAAAATCATTATTTTCATTTACCATCATCACAAACCAGTATTAAAACATCTCCCTTTATTATGAGCATCTTTGATGATCATCTTTCATCATCATCACTATCCACATCATCATTTTTTTCTTATTGTCATAATCGTAACCATCATTGTTGTTATCATTATCATTATTATCGCCACCATCATCATTATAGAACACTAAAATCAAACTATATTATTCTTTGACTTATGGCAAACTCAGACAGCAGCCCGACACCATTTGTTGGCGTGTCAGGTCGGTGTGAGTTAAACACAGACGCAATGGTTTGCATCGGTGATCGTCGTGTTGTGGAATATTAAACATGTTTAATATTTCTCACCACAGCTTAAGACTGTACCCGACGATGAATCGCATCGGGCTGCTTCGTACAACGTTGTCTGAGTTGGCCTTTACAGTCCAGTTTCAATTCCCTGAAGCAAAAGAGCAATAAATAGGAAAGCTCAAGATTCCAAAAACGTACCTTAAGAAGCTCAATAAGGCGACACAATGCAAGTACGGCTGTCTTGGTCAGAGGTTTATTAGTATAAGCATGAATATTCATGACTGTCTTCACTAGGTGACTGATGTTGTGAGCCCACAGCAAGCCCTGTAAAAAATTGATTAACAGTGAAATGTCCAATCAGAATGTCTAAGAGGCAGACCCAGATGCTTCAAATTGAAGCCGCCAAAGACTTGGTGGTGTGGTGGTAGGAAGCTCTCCATCCAATCCTGAAATCTTGAGGACACATATTACATGTGTAGTGCAGCTGGCTATCATTCCAGCCAAATTAATTTATACACAAATGTAAATAATTATTATTTTTACTAATGAACAATTACATCATAATATACAGATATGTTAAGTTGTTATTTTTAACATGACCTCTTATAACAACGGCATTAGGCCTAATTGCTATTGACAGTTTGGTAGTGAATAGCAAAGTATCATGATACATTAACAATTAATAATAATAATATATGCTTGTACCTGGATGAATAAGGAGCACTTATGTGTTAGGTCATCAACGACGCTGTTGGCAGCTCCCATGCCAGACTCCATACGGATCATCCATGAGCAAACCTGTACGTAATATTGTTGCACATCACTATTGAAAAAAGTAGTTCCATTTAAATATATAGTTTTCTTTTCCTTACAGTAAATATTAATGGATAAGAATGAAATAAACAAAATATATATAAAGCATGTAAAGTATAATATAAATGCAGCAAATTCTTACCGTATAACACTCTGAACCTTGTTTGTTAAGTAGGTTTGGGTTTGGGTGGCCACATGTGACTGAGAACGTTTGTCCAGGATCTTGGAGATGTGCGGTGATAAACTACGCAACAGGAACTTGTTTGGAGACCACATAATATTCCCAGTTAAAGTGATTGACGGAATCTAGAGAGTATGACATATAAACATTTTGAAATAGGTTTGGTTAGAAACTAATTGGCCATATATTTTATTACCGCCATATTATTTCATATTTTTCTCTTTGCTTTGAAAATTTGTTAAGATAAATCTTGGTGATTAATGCTTACCTTCTGTGACAACACAGAAGAAACATCTCAAATTCTAATATATTTATTTATTTATCTATTTTTAGGCTCAGGGCCAATGATATGAACTTAATCACTTTACAAGTGGCAATCCTTTCACAAGAAAAACATAATTTATTAACAAAATGCTCTACATAATTTAAGTCTATTTATGAGGCTTAGGGTTTGGAGTTGTTCCTGTGACAGGAACTGAATGCAGCTGGGGCCTGGGATTGGAAGGCAAACATCTTAACCACCAAGCCATTCAAGAAAAACCTGAAAAGGTCACTCTCAATAAATATGGTACAAACAAAATTATTTTCAAAAGGATATACAGTATTAATAACATCCAATTCCAACCACATTTATTGTTATCATTATCATCATCAGTAAATACACCAATGACTCACTTTCTTGTACACATCCCAGAGCTGCTTAAAGACCTTCTTATCAATGACACGAAAGATCTGAAAGTGGAGAACATAGAGACCGCAGATTCCCACGTATTGTAGACGATGATCCATCTCACTTGGATCCCCTGCAAGGTAAAATATGACCTCAATTTTACAAAGTGAGGAACACACAAAGTGTATTAAATAAAATTATACACTCTTGTCATAAACCCTAGGCCCTTTTGACCACCATGGGTTGTATTATCAACTTTACTTGTGAGAACAGGTTGTCCTTGATGTCCAGTTAAGGAAGGGCACATTTTAGTCAAGGTATTGTGTACCATGCAATAAATTATGAAATCAAAATATGGCATATCAAAATAATAAATAAAAAATAGAGAGCAGCTTATAGCTCAGGCGGCTAAACTGGTGGTAGCCACTTTGTGTGCGCTGAACTACGGAGATCCCTTGGTCCCCGGTTAATTTCCCATCGCTGCTCTCCTTCTATTTTAGCTGGAGGGCTGAAATGCAAGTTATGATAGCACGTTCAAGCCATTGGTGTTTGCGTGCATTATGGACAATGTGCAGGTTAAAGAACGCAGTACAATCTCGAGGAAAGAGAAGGGGATTGTCTCCCAGAGTACTGTTCAATTACCACCAGAAGGAACCAACTGGAAATAAGTCTTCTTCAGACTTTCACAGGTTATTGAATAAATCCATCAGCTAACAATATTGCGTATGCACAAGCTCATACACACACACAAATAGTACAAGTGGAGTACATGCTTCGCTCCCAGGTTATATCTGTCCAAGGCGAAGACATAAGTAATGGTATTGTCTTACCTATCTTTGGTTCTATCTGTGAAAATAGCACTCTGATGTTGTAGGCAAACTCTTCAGCAAAGTAGGAATTCTTGGTCACATACACATGATTTTCATCAAACAATTGTTCCACACAACTCTGAAAAATACAATGTAATCAGGTTAAATAAACAATTCAATTCAAATTAATTCTGTCTTAAATACATCTTTAAAAATTAAACAACAGATTAAAAAAAAAGAAGGCTGCAAAAAAAAGTTTTGGTAAAGCGAAAAAAAGTCTTTGGGCGTATTTGACTGGTTTGTTTCGTTGACTACGATTTTTCATTGAGTATTATTTTCATTTGACTGGTTTGTAAAATAGACTTCGTTGACAACGAAAATTAACATAAACCAGAGTGCGTTAATCAACGTTAAGTTATCCACATGACCACAACAAACATGGCCGATTGGTCAGTTTAGCAACAACATTTGCGTTAATATAATTTAGATTAAATGTCAGAAAATAAAAATTTACCCACATGAAGTCAAAAAATAATTGTAGGCTAACAGAATTCAAAAACTGGATGAAAACATTTTTTTACATAAAACCCATACTGCCACAATCTAAAGCAACCTTGAATACGCAGCGTGTATCTCAGTAACTATGCAGCCATTTTGTTTTGTCAAGTATCTAACAGTTAAGAAGATTTCTACTGCTGCGCAGGTGGGCGTGGTTTAACGAAGAACGACTAGTCGAATACGGCCATTTACTCATCACACAAACCTTCAAAAATACCTTCGACTTTGTCCACACTATTAAATTTTATGTAACAAATTTGTGTGAAGTGCCTATATATAGGCATGATGATGTCATAGTACACCCAAATATGGGCACATCACATTTAATTGTCACATACAATTTGATAGTCTGGACAGAGCTTTTCAATTTATTTGGTTTAAATATAATTTTTCATTTCTAATACCATACTGAAACTTTACACATTTTCAACATTTATTTTTAACTTTGCTATTCCTTCACATCATTGACCATCTTTCTTACCTGCATTATCATGCCATCCAGCAACTGTCCTTGAAGTCTCATCAGCAGCTTCTCAAATGGCCGTAGCTTGACCGAGTCAATGTTGAACCTAGCTGGGTTGTGGTGGACAGACTTCAGCATCCTGTCATTAAAAATAGGAGTGGTTAAGAAGAAAATAATATTAATACTAAGTAGGGGTGAATCCGGTGGGGGTGGGGGGGGCAACAAAGGCTGAGGCACAACACCCTCAACCCAAAAAAAAAAAAAAAGAAGAAGAAAGAGGGCAGCATGGTGCTACAAAGCAAAGCAACTTTTATTTAAAATCCATGTGCCAGTCTCTGGTCAAGCATATCTAAATAAAAATCTCAAGTAACTCTCCCACCCCCTGCTTGGTGTTTCACACATTGCATTGCCCCTTCCCAGATATCTCTCTGGATCCGCATCTGCTAAAACATAAGTGAACTAGAATTACTGAATTAATGGGTTAATTTTAGTGTCTAAAACAGATATTACCTTTTGTATAGTGTCCAGTGTTCCTTGAGCGAGTGTTGATTGGCAACGATCTCATCCAGGGTGATGAGAACACACAGTAACTGGCCAAGATGTTCAAAGACAGTCTATAAATTGTACAGGCAAAAAAAAAAACCAAAGATATAAATTTCAATTAAAGTATTAGAGAATTAACAAACCAATATATACTACATGGATGGATGATTGGAAGAGAAATATGGAGTGCTAGCGTTATAATAGGGAGTTTTCGATTGCATGACAACGGTAGGACGTAGAAAGCAATGACGTCACTAAAAGTCATCTGCACATGCGAGAACGTTAAGTTGTCATCGCATGGATTCTAGGATGCAATTCAGCCAAATCTACATATGCAGAGAACGTACGACACCCCGTAGGTTAGTGATTCCGTTCTAGCGTCGCATCGTCCAACAAATTAAAAGCTCTCTATTGATCATGGGGGTCTACAAGAACCTCAAATGCTACACCATTCACTTTATTGAACATAAACAAAAAGAAACCAGCAAACTGTCTCTTTTTTTTTGTACTCGTATATTTATATAAACTTCAAAGTTTCCTTCTTTTTTTTTTGCATAAATATTAATAAAATTTAAGGCATTAAACATTAATGATGTAGCACTTATTTTACATTTACAAATACAATAAAAGTTAAACATGCCTCAGTCAATTTTGCCTAACTCGAATAATATCTAAGTCAATCTTATTTTACATGCCAATTGTTTTCCTTTAATCAACACTCTGTAAGTCAAATTTTAGTCGAAAAGTTTTTCAATGCCATTTTGGGTTCAACTTAGGCAAGTTCAACTGCATCATAATATTTTATTAATTTAAAAGTATATTTTGCTTTACTCGTAATAAATTTCTACATTAAAAATTAATTTACACTTACGGTAAAATGAACTTGAGAGATATCAATAACTCTGGGGGCACCTCTGAAAGATGAAAAAGAAATGCTGATATACTGTACTCTTGCAGATGATAAAGTACTTTTTGCTATCCCCCTAGCAATATTGTTACCTAACTGATGACGTGACCTAACTTGGGTATACATAAAAACCTGAAGCAGGCACTCCAGCCTGCTTCAGGTTTCGAACCTTTTACTTCACACCAAATAAATCCTATCCAATGTGGTATCAATTAAAAACGACACACATTCTTTCCTTCAATATCCATTTTTATTTTTAATTCAACCTTTCAACTCAGAATTTACAATATTTAATATGTCTCCATTACTACAGCATTACTACAGCATGTTTCAAAATGTTTTCTTTCTTAATGCATTATTTAAATTATTAAAAAATGTGAACTTACTTTGAAGTATTGAATAAACTTGAGAGTTGATGAATGACGTTCTTAACCACCTCATAGCAACGTGCGACAAAGCATGATAATTCCTGATTTAAAAAAAAAAAATTAAAATACTATGTGAAAATTCTGTTGCAATTGTGTAAAGAATAAAAAATGGTAAACTTTTACAAAAAGTTTCAACCGTTCTTCTATATTCACCTGCATAAATGGCATGAACTGCCCCAACATCACCTGGGCATCTCCCTCCTGTAGACCAGTTGTTGGCTCTGAAAATAAAATTAGTTTGAATCAATCTAGTAGTAGGTTTTCAATAGTAGCTTTTTGATTGACAATAACATTACTGGCAAGTATTACAATCAATATGTCAATAACACAATTATAAACAAAGAAAAAGTGAAACAAAAAATAGCAACATTAATTACTGATTATTATTATTAAAAATGATACCAAATTGATTATCATCACCTTTAGTTTACTATAAATTATTTAGCATAAATTTTTTAAAAAAATTTACAAAAACTAACTCTTCACAATATACTGTACGAACTTTAAATACTGACACATTTTAAAAAAAATGTTAACTCACCTCCTTCGCCATAAAACATCAATGCATTGTAGTACTTTGTTTCAGCCTAAAAAAATGATCATTAAAACATTACAGTCAATCAATCAATCAATCAATTAATTGCCAATCTTTCACCTATAGTTATTTAACATTAATATATAGTTACAGGTATTTAACATAATTATGCCAACACCACATTTGATCATTCAGTAATGATAAAAACAAGAAAAAATATTCTAGGTACAATACCTCATGTTTCAAAACTCCCATCTCACAACAAAGGGATGCAAATACAGTGATAACCTTATTGAAAACCTGAAAAATCAATGAAAAAGTGTCTGAAGAAATCTGTTAACCATAAAGACCTGTCGTACACAAGTGACATGACCGTAGGCAAGTTACGGACACATGACACGCATGCAAACAAGAGGTTGAATACACAGGTCATCCACATGGTCATTTGTAGCACTTATACCTCACAATTTCAAATACTTGCAGAAGACCCTGCATATGTTTGCGCAAGCCATGAGATAAATTTGCATCTGCACTGACACTTTATTCGCACTGTCTCTCTCCACCCAGGAGTAGGTACTGTACTTGGACCGAATGGAATAGAGGGATTTAGCGATGGGCGTCACATGACCTAACTTGGGTGTTGGATATAAAAAATCCACTGACACAGCGGACATGGAGATTTCTACCACGGCTGTCCCTTGTTTATTGCTGTAGTGTAAAGATCATCATAATTCCCAGTAAACTATACCAAATTGATTGGAAATTAAACTTAAGAATTTTGACATAATGTTTTGCTAACATTTTTCGACAAATGTTGGGCCCAGGCCCCTGCACATCTACGGCATGGTTAGGTATGCATGATTATCTTCGACCCACGAATTAGGGCCAGCAAAAGGGTTTACAAAGGATCACTTAAATTTCAAAGCATACAATTCAAGCAGAATGCTAGAAGTAAATGAACACTTTCTGAACAATCGTATTGCCTTTCTTGGCCAATTACTTCTCATGTTAACAATGGTGGGTTGTTTTCGCAAGCATAACATTATCTTTTCCTATGCTATCGCACTGTAATGTTTTTTATGTATACCCAAGTTAGGTCACGTGACCGCCTATAAACAATCATCGCTAAATCCCTCTATTGGGCTCCCCAGAGATCTCAATATCTGTTCCATAGGTGTTTAAACAATCAATCATCAACTGATCCAAAGACCATGAGTAATAATGTAAAGTGCATAGATGCATTTTATTGTAAAATAATGCGCTATTAAGCAATTGGTATAGTTGCATATCATTTAGTAAAAAATACTATATGAAAGTTAGATTACTGCATGAAAAAAAATTCTGAGGACCTGCAAGGCCCGAAAGAACTTCTAAATTACATATAAATACATAGTTCATTATTATATTTATAAATTCAATTCAATATCACCTAAAGTAATTAATATGAGTAACTATCACTCATGTTCTGAGGACTTTCAATTATCACATAGTGATTATAAAAATAAAGAATCTTGATTTAGTTCAGTATCACTTTACCTTGTTATCTGTTTTGATGAGTTCCAACAGACTGGTCTGTTCATATGGGCAGTACTAAAAAATGTCAGAAATGCAATATATTTATTTATAAAATCAAATAATAAACATATTATTCCTTTCATATATTCTGTAAAATTTTTCTATACTGCTAATGTATTATGGAATTTTACTGAAACAAATCCATAGCATTGTTACAAAAAGGTACACATAAAATTAATATATTATTTAAATAGAAATTGAGGGTTTACTGTTGACATCCCATTCATATGTTCAGACGTAGATGCTCCCAAATGATGTTGATCTACTGTACCTCTAGTTCCATGTTTATTGCTCAGAGAGCAGAAAAGCTAATTACCTGAAGCTTTATGGGATCGAGAGTGAAATCCCAGGCATCTCCGATGCTGTCATCTAAAGCGTCCTCTATCCCCTTCAACTGTGCAGCATAATCTTCAAGAAATTTACCATATTTGCGAAGTTGCACTTCCCCTACAATTTCTGAAACACAATTTTAAAAGTGGTTTTTTTTTAGAAAATAGTCCAATCAATTCAAAATACTTGATGTTTGACATACCAATACCAAATTCCTACTACAGTGAGAAATAAACTAGGCCCAGGTAACCTTGATGTACCCTATTCATTAATGTGGTAGTGAATTGTTTCACCCGCCTTACCCCCCAACTTTTTTCCCTTTGTGCTAATAAAAGACACGGATAGTTTGTTGGTACAAAGAGAGGTCTCGAACTGAAGGGTGAACTTCACAAAGAAATACCGGTATTTCCTAATACGCCTTCTTCACGCTGCAGTGGACATGTTCAATCGATGACAAACAATGCTGAGCAGCAGAGCGTAAACAACAGAAATCACATAGCGTTTCGGCCATATTTTCGGAGGTCATACTCAAAAAATCATAAATCCTTAACGGAATTATAACATAAATTTTTCTTTAAAATGTTCGCAAAGGACATATCTACATACAGGTATGAATAAAAAAAAATTAAAATTTGTTTAGTCTTTAAAATGAAAAATAAATGACAGATTTTGTATAGTGTGTGTTGCTATTATTTCAATTACGTTTTGACCGACTAAACAAATTTTAATTTTTTTGTTATTCATACAGTACTTAGATATATCTTTTGCAAACATTTTATAAAGAAAAAAATATGTCAATACGACCCTCCGTTAAGGAGTTATGATTCTTTAAGTAACATGATCTCTGAAAAATGGCCAGCACGCAATATGCTATTCGGTCGCACAGTGAAATAATGGCCATCAGCGTGACCACTGCTTGGGTTTACCCAAGATCTTGTGTATTTTGACTTGGTCTTGGGTTCTTGGGTATTCTGTTCAAATCCTTGGGTATTTTATTTTTACTAAGAAAATTAAATATTTTTGTCATAGAGGAAGAATTAAGAAGCAACAAAGTATATTTCAGTCCATTCAAGTAAGCAAAACTCAACGAAGTGCACATAACATTGTTAATTACTATAAACATGGGTTCAGAATTGTTTATTGTGATTTGCGTTGCCATTGATCTTACCTAATTAATGCATTACATAATAAAACTTGATCACTGATCTACTGATAACACTGGCCGACTGAGGGCGTATTTTTCTATCCGTATTATAACCTCATGAATATTAATTTTAATAATTAACTCAAACAATTACCATAAAAAATTGGTTTATAAATTGAACTAAAAGGGAAACTATACATGCGAAATAGATGTTTTTCAAATTTTAATGCATTTTTAGAAAGCTTGGGTAATTTTGGGCAATTTTTGATGAATCTTGGGTAATTTCGACCCAGTCATTGGGTATATCAAAAATTGTGAGTGGTCACGCTGATGGCAATACATAAAATTGGTCTTCCATTTTCCAGTTAAGTTTTGACATACCTCCTTGTTTTGACAGACTAAACAAATTTAAATTTTTTTTTTATTCATACAGTACATACATATATCCTTTGCGAACATTTTAAAGAAAAAATTATGTTGATACGACCCCTTTTATTAATGAGTTATGATTTTTTTTTAAGCAACCTGACCTCCGAAAATAAGGCCGAAATGCTATGTTATTTCTATTGGTTATGCTTCGTAGCTCAGCAATGTTTGTCATTGACTGAGATGTCTACCGCAGCGTGAAAAAGGCATATGGATACTCTATCCTGGCCTGCCTCCTGCTACAATTTGTATTAACAAATTCTTCCCTAGGCCTATCCTACTAGGCCCTACTAGCTAGGCCTACGCCTGTAGTACTACTAGCCTAGAGGCCCTACTACTAGGCCTAGGCCTAGCAGGGGTAATAGGCCTAGGCCTAGCCTACTAGGCTAGTAAATAATGTTCAGACCAAAACATGAGCTACAAAATTGCTTCCAAGTCCAGTAAGTTGGTGGTTTTCCCCTTATACCGGGTCGATTTGTACGTAGGTTAAGCCGCCATCTAGGCCCTAGGCCTATGCCCTTAGCATAGTAGGTTAAAGGCCTAGGTAACTTCCACCCAGTAAAGCATGTGACCTGGGCCGGTAATTCCTTCAGGGTGGCTCGCTAGCTAGGCTAGGCTGGGCATTGTCGACCTATTGTAAAAACTTATTCGTTTAACAATTTCAACTAGATAACAGTTAATTTATATTTAAAATAATAAGTAGAAAATTTGCAATTGTTAGTTTAAAACATACTCAATGAACCATCGTCGAATTTGTCGAAATCCCATCCAGAGTAGGTCTCGTATTCTGACATTATTTATCGCCTTCCGATTCTGATTTCCTCTGTTATTATTCACGTGATGTTGTATGACACACGCTGTTAAATATCAGTCGCGCTCGTAAACCAATCGTATGGTAGATTTGTAAAATAAATCAATTTGATTGGAGATTAATTAGTACTAACAGTTAACAGTTAATGGCGAAACAATAATATCAATATTGTACAGAAATTTAAAAAAAACCAAAACGTGTCAGAAAATGTGATTTAGTTTCTAAGCGGAAGATCAAGCGAACTTGAATTCAGCCAAGAATACATTAATTTTTGACCACTTACATTTAATGAAGTAAATACCAAATATCACTGATCATCGTGGCGTTCATTATCATCCTATCATCATCATCACCCTATCATCGACATCATCATTATCATTATAGTCATACTTTTGTCTATAGTTTTTAAAAAAATTAATAATAATAATAATAATAATAAATAAATAACAATAATAACAATAAAAATAACAATAATAATAGAATAATAATAATTATAATAATTATAATAATAGTAATAATAATAATAACAATAATTAATAAATAAATAAAAACCTATATACTATTATTATTAGAGGTTTTTTAATAATAAAATCCCTAGTTTGTTAGGTTGTCATCATCAACATTAGCCTATCATCCCTCATCATCATCAATATCATTATCATTATAATAGGCCTAATCATACTTTTGTCTAGAGGTTTTTTAATAATAATAATAATAATAATAATAATAATAATAATAATAATAATAATAATAATAATAATAATAATAATAATAATAATAATAATAATAATAAATGAAACCCTATATACTATCATATTATTAGAGGTTTTTTTAATTATAAAATCCTTAGTTTGTTAGGTTAGCTTTTTTATAATCAGTTGTTTTTTAGGTTATACTGAACCCTTAGAATTATTTTTTTTAAACAAAAAAAAACATAAGTTTGATGGACCCCTCCTCCACAACAGGCTCCTTGGAGTTTCTTGGAGTCCATTTCATTTTATTTTTTTAATATTCATATTTTTATTATCTGCATTTGTAATTGTTAGTTTATATATGGAATTTATTGATGAATAAAGAATTTGATTGATTGATTGGTGAGGTAAAGTGTTCAAGAGTAGATTTATTTATTTTTTTATTTTTATCATTAATTGATTGTTGTTCATTTAAAATGCATGGGATTGTCAATCATTTGCAAACAAAAAAGTGGAATGAACAGTGCAATGCAAAACACGGGGCTGGGCTCTAGGGGCCCAATAATAGGCCTAAAATATTTAACAATAATTTCCAAAAATATTAAGAAAAAAGGAAATAAATGGCCAGTAGGCCCCTCAATAATTTAGGTTTTAAAGTAATATAGGAGTATATAAGTACAGTGTTTATTCAACTTCCAAGTCTTACGTTTCTAAGGTACCACAATTTTTTTTAATTAATTCTATCATTTTTTTTAATTATAATAATTAATTATAGCATAATTAATGTCGAAAGATTGAATCTCAACACGATGGCGTGCATTTCGATACTTGGAATGTGTATTATACTATCTTATCTGAGATGAATCAGTGGGCCTTTCGGTTTTCTATAAAATATTGTTTTGAAAAGGGCAAAGTGTCAAATATGGTTTTTTTTTCACTTGTTTGGTAGTCAATTTCACATAATCCTTTTAAAATATCCTTTTCCAGTAGTGTGTTTGGTTATGGGTGCGTGTGCTGACAGAAAGAACTGAACCTCGCCGATGCTTGAAAGTACAGTAAGTTTTAAGTAAGACCAACAGTAATTTGGTTTAAAAAAATATGTTGCGTCAAAAGGAAAATTTTGGCATATAAACGATATGATTGGTAAAATATTGGTGCCAGCCAAAACCGAACCAGCCGGACCGCTTCTATCTTACGTGATCTTTGCTTAACCCAAGCACAGAACAAGTAAACAAATCATTGAAGCAGTGGCAAAGTTTGGAATCATAAACAAATAATGCAACAATAAATAAAATAAGAATAAAAATGGGATAATTAGTTAAGAGGTGAATCCTTAAGTTAGACCTAAAGACAGCCACGAATGGTGAAGATCGAATGTGCACTGGAAGGTTATTCCAGATGAGTGGCGCGTCGTACGGAAAAGATTTGTTACCAATACGCTTGTTAAAGATAGGTTGATGGAAATTAATATTCAAAACTGATCTAGTGGTACGAATTTAGACCGGAAACGGTAAAATAATAACTTTCGATTAGAAAAAGAAAAGGCACTGCCCGGATTTGAACCGGGGATCTCCTGTTTACTAGACAGGCGCTTTAACCAGCTAAGCCACAGCGCCAGATTGAAGTATGCTTATGATAATTCATCGCCTCCAACAGAAATTGGTATTGTAGGATAAATAAAACAACAACTTAAATAAGATGGATTATATTGATTAGATTAAAACAATAGGTAGGCCTAAGTGCAGATAAATATAATAGAACTATCGTCTTGACAAAAATGTAGGCACTGCCCTGATTCGAACCTGGATCTCCTGTTTACAAAACAGGCGCTTTCAACCAAGTCACAGCGCCGGTTTGTATTTCGTGTGCTCCACTCCACCGCTAGCATGAATCAGCGTCTTTGAAAACGAATGTTTTTAGTGATGATAAAGCTTATAATTAGTGTTTTAGTTTGATTGCTAGAATCTCGTTTAGTCTATTGTTTTTTGGACAGAAATGTCCATAGGACACGAGAAATAACTTAATAATAAATAGTAAATAAAAATATTAAAATGTTTGACTGAAAACGATAAAATATCGCTTCCGGTTAGAAAAAGAAGAAGGTACTGCCCAGATTTGAACCGGGGATCTCCTGTTTACTAGACAGGCGCTTTAACCAGCTAAGCCACAGCGCCGGATTTAAAAATGTTTGTGCCACTTGACAACTAGGCGTTTTGGTTTTATTAAACAGATTGACACATCATGGGTTGCTCTTCATTGGTAACGCCTAAGATAATTCATCACCAGAACATAGATTATTATAGTGGTATAAATAAAGCAGTAACTTAAATAAGACGGGTTGTATTGCGGAATGGATAAAAGAACAGGTAAGTGAAGATAAAAATAAAAGAGCTATCGTTTAATAATAGCTAGTAGTAAATGAAAATATTCAGCCGATTCTACCTAAGTGAGCAGATTTGGTGACAAATAAAATGCTGATATACTTCTATTCTGGTGACAGCACCAGTCATCAATCACCTAATCAGAATCTCCTAACTGCATGTTTGGTGACAGCATCATCAATGGTGATAGTGATGTCGCCGAAAGTGATACTTATCAGATCTATTAGGTAGAATCGGGTGCAAAATAATAGTTTTAAAAAATACTAAAACGTTAGAAACGGTAAAACAACAACTTTCGATTAGAAAAAGAAAAGGCACTAGGCCTACCCGGATTTGAACCGAGAATCTCCTGTTTATATATCCATGCGCTTTAACCACCTAACGGCCACGGCGCCTGATTGAAGTATGCTTCCACCACTTGACCACTGGTTTATGGAACAGATTGACACGCACTGGGTTGCTCTTCATTGATAATGCCTTCGATAATTCATCACCTCGACAGGCAGGTGCAGATAAATATAGTAGAATTTTCGTCTGACAACAAAAAGTAGGCACTGCCCGGATTCGAACCGGGGATCTCCTGTTTACAAGACAGGCGCTTTAACCAACTAAGCCACAGCGCCGGTTAGAAGTTTCTGTGAGTCCGGAATTCCGAATTTACTGTGCACCACTCCACCACTGGTGGGCATGGGCATCTTTGAAAACGAGTGTTTAGTGATGATAAAGCTTAAAATTTAATGTTTTGGTTTGATTGCTAGAATTTCGTTTAGTCTATTGTTTTTGGACAGGTCCCTGGACTGGAGATAACTTAATAATAAATATTAAATAAAACTTTTAAAACGTGGGACTAAAAACAGTAAAATATAACTTTCGGTTGCAAGAAGGAAAAAGCACTGCGATGATTTGAACCGGGGATCTCCTGTTTACTAGACAAGCGCTTTAACCAGCTAATCCACCACTTAGCCACTGGGCAATTTGGTTTTATTGAACAGATTGATACACATTGGATTGTTTTTTATTGATAACGCCTTCAATAACTCATCCCCTCAAACAGAAGTTAAGACGTTGGAATAAATAAATAAAACAACAACTTAAATAAGATGAATTATACTGTATTGATTAGATTAAAACGACAGGCATATTAATATAATAGAGGTTTCGTCTGTGAATGGATAAAAGAACAGGTACGGTATGCGAAGAAAAAAATAATAGAGCTATCGTTTAATAATAGCTAGTAGTAAATGAAAATATTCAGCCGATTCTACCTAAGTGAGCAGATTTGGTGACAAATAAAATGCTGATATACTTCTATTCTGGTGACAGCACCAGTCATCAATCACCTAATCAGAATCTCCTAACTGCATGTTTGGTGACAGCATCATCAATGGTGATGGTGATGTCACCGAAAGTGATACTTATCAGATCTATTATAGGTAGAATCGAGCACAAAATAATAGTTTAAAAAAATACTAAAACATTAGACTGGAAACGGTAAAATAATAATTTTCGATAAGAAATAATAATAATATGCAGCACAAAAAAGAATCACGTCTTAATAATAATAATAATAATAATAAGACATTTTTAAAGCGCGCTAATGCATGCACAAGGCGGCCTCTAGGCGCTATAAAATACATAATAACAAGCAAATATTTTAAACAAGGGAATAGCATAGAAAAAGAAAAGGCACTAGGCCTACCCGGATTTGAACCGAGAATCTCCTGTTTATATATCCATGCGCTTTAACCACCTAACGGCCACAGCGCCTGATTGAAGTATGCTTCCACCACTTGACCACTGGTTTATGGAACAGATTGACACGCATTGGGTTGCTCTTCATTGATAACGCCTTCGATAATTCATCACCTCGACAGGCAGGTGCAGATAAATATAGAAGAATTTTCGTCTGACAACAAAAAGTAGGCACTGCCCGGATTCGAACCGGGGATCTCCTGTTTACAAGACAGGCGCTTCCACCACTTGACCACTGGTTTATGGAACAGATTGACACGCATTGGGTTGCTCTTCATTGATAACGCCTTCGATAATTCATCACCTCGACAGGCAGGTGCAGATAAATATAGTAGAGTTTTCGTCTGACAACAAAAAGTAGGCACTGCCCGGATTCGAACCGGGGATCTCCTGTTTACAAGACAGGCGCTTTAACCAACTAAGCCACAGCGCCGGTTAGAAGTTCTTGTGAGCCCGGAACTCCGAACTTATTGTGCGCCACTCCACCACTGGTGGGCATGGGCATCTTTGAAAACGAGTGTTTAGTCATGATAAAGCTTAAAATCTAATGTTTTGGTTTGATTGCTAGAATTTCCTTTAGTCTATTGTTTTTGGACAGGTCCCTGGACTGGAGATAACTGAATAATAAAAATTAAATAAAACTTTTAAAACGTGGGACCAAAAAAAGTAAAATATAACTTTCGGTTGCAAGAAGGAAAAGAACTGCGATGATTTGAATCGGGATCTCATGTTTACTAGACAAGTGCTTTAGCCAGCTAAGCCACCACTTGGCCACTGGGCAATTTGGTTTTATTGAACAGGTTGACACGCATTGGATTGTTTTTTATTGATAACGCCTTCGATAACTCATCCCCTCAAACAGAAATTAGACGTTGGAATAAATAAATAAAACAACAACTTAAATAAGATAAATTATACTGTATTGATTAGATTAAAGCGACAGGCAATTGCATATACATATAATAGAGGTTTCGTCTGACAGCAAAAAGTAAGCACTGCCCGAATTCGAACCGGGGATCTCCTGTTTACAAGACGGGTGGTTTAACCGCCAACTAATCCACAGCGCAAGTGAGAACTTACTGTGGGAATCGGCACCTTTGAAAACGAGTGTTTAGTGATGATAACGCTTAAACTTATGCTTTTGTTTGATTGCTAAAATTTCGTTTAATCTATTTGTTTTTGGGCAGAAATGTCCCTAATTCCTGATAAGATGACATGATTAATGTCGAAATATTTAAACCCGAGCGTGAATCTCGATACTTGGAGTATGTATTATACTATATTAAATGTCACTAAGACTGGAGATATAACTTAATAATAAATAGTAAATAAGTATATTAAAGAGTTAGACTCAAAAAGGTAAAATACAACTTTCGATTAGAAAAAGGAAAGGCACTGCCCGGATTTGAACCGGGGATCTCCTGTTTACTAGACAGGCGCTTTAACCAGCTAAGCCACAGCGCCAGGTTGAAGCATGCGTGCACAACTTGACTAGGCGTTTTGGTTTTATTGAACAGATTGACACGCATTGGGTTGCGTTTCATTGGTAACGCCTTCGATAATTCATCACCTCGAACAGATATTAGTATGGTAGGATAAATAAAACAACAACTTGAATAAGATGGATATTGATTAGATTAAAACAATAGGTAAGTGCAGATAAATATAATAGTAGAATCGTCTTAAACAAAAATGTAGGCACCGCCCTGATTCGAACCTGGTCACAGCGCTGGTTTGAATTTCGTGTGCTCCACTTCACCACTGGTATGAATCGGCGTCTTTGAAAACGAGTGTTTAGTGATGATAAAGCTTATAATGAGTGTTTTAGTTTGATTGGTAGAATTTCGTTTAGTCAATTGTTTTTGGACAGAAATGCCCATCATAGGACTGGAGACATAACTTAATAATAAATAATAAATAAAAATATTAAAACGTTAGACTGAAAACTAAAATATAGCTTTCGGTTAGAAAAATAAAAGGCACTGCCCGGATTTGAACCGGGGATCTCCTGTTTACTAGACAGGCGCTTTAACCAGCTAAGCCACAGCGCCGGATTGAAATATGTTTGTGCCACTTGACCACTGGGCGATTTGGTTTTATTGAACAAGATTGACACGACGTATTGGGTTGCTTCTACTAGAACATAAATTATGATAGGCCTAGTGGTAAAAATAAAACAGTAACTTAAATAAAATGGATTGTATTGAATAGATAAAAGAACAGGTAATTAAAGATGAAAATAATAGAGCTATCTTCTAACGAGAAAACGTAGGCACTGCCCGGATTTGAACCGGGGATCTCCTGTTTACTAGACAGGCGCTTTAACCAACTAAGCCACAGCGCCGGATTAAAATATGTTTGTGCCACTTGACCACTGGGCGATTTGGTTTTATTGAACAAGATGGACACGACGTATTGGGTTGCTTCTACTAGAACATAAATTATGATAGGCCTAGTGGTATAAATAAAACAATAACTTAAATAAAATGGATTGTATTGAATAGATAAAAGAACAGGTAATTAAAGATAAAAATAATAGAGCTATCTTCTAACGAGAAAACGTAGGCACTGCCCGGATTCGAACCGGGGATCTCCTGTTTACAAGACAGGCGCTTTAACCAACTAAGCCACAACGCTGGATTGAAAAATGTTTGTGCCACTTGACCACTGGGCGATTTGGTTTTATTAAACAAGATTTACACGACGTATTGGGTTGCTTCTACTAGAACATAAATTATGATAGGCCTAGTGGTATAAATAAAACCGTAACTTAAATAAAATGGCTTGTATTGAATAGATAAAAGAACAGGTAATTAAAGATAAAAATAATAGAGCTATCTTCTAACGAGAAAACGTAGGCACTGCCCGGATTCGAACCGGGGATCTAGTGTTTACAAGACAGGCGCTTTAACCAACTAAGCCACAGCGCCGGTTTAAACCCACTTTGCGCCACTACGAACTTACTGTGCGCCACTCCACCACTGGTGGGCATGGACATCTTTGAAAGCAGTTGACAGGCAGTCTTTGAAAACAGATTGACACGCATTGGGTTGCTTTTTTTTTTTTATTGATAACGCCTTTGATAACCCATCACCTCAAACAAAAATTAGAACGTTGGAATAAATAAATAAAACAACAACTTAAATAAGATAAATTATATTGTATTGATTAGATTAAAGCGACAGGCAATTGCATATACATATAATAGAGGTTTCGTCTGACAGCAAAAAGTAAGCACTGCCCGAATTCGAACCGGGGATCTCCTGTTTACAAGACAGGCGCTTTAACCAACTAAGCCACAGCGCCGGTTAGAAGTTCTTGTGAGCCCGGAACTCCGAACTTCAGTGTCAAAATGCTCAAGACCTGTCTCTTATACACATCTAGATGTGTATAAGAGACAGGCCTAGGCCTAGTACCAGATCGTCGTTTTCAGGTTTTCCCAGGATCCAGTACCGCCAGCAGTAGGCATTGGCGTAGTCGTCGAGGACGGTGCTTTTGAAAGGCTAGGCCTTCCATATAATTATAATGCTCCGCCTAGTAGGTCTACCTAGGCGAGGCCTACCTCTAGGCCCCACCTCCTTTCTTAGGCCTAGGCCCTAGTTGACAGAAATAATTTAATAAAATGATAATACTAACTAATAGGCCTAGGTTGGCACTAGAAGGTAGAAGCCACAAGGCCTCACTGAGATGTATAGCCTGCCTAGAGAGGGCTAGGCGGTGTAGCCCCAGCCAGGTCAAGCTGCTTACGCTTAAGCGATCGATATCCCAACACGCTGGCTTTACCCCAACCTTAGAAATAGTTGTAGCCATCTTAATGCACTACATCTCGGCATACGTGTAAGCATAGCCACTGATGTCATTTTAACGTTGCTGATGGAAAAAATATAGAGACATCAATTATGGATGATTCTTTTGTGATTTTCGGTGTTTTTTCTTTTCAGAGCAAGAATAATTCCAGTGACTAGCCATGTGGCAAGTGGTTTCTCAGCAAGTAGTCCGTCATGCTGGACCGAATGTACTCTTTCAAATGAAGATGCACCTTAAACCATCATCTGAAATTATACAGCTGCTTCCTGATGTGTACAGCATATATGTAGAGTCTTCTATTCCATGCACAATCCACAGGCGACATATACTAGAATTGAGTGCGCAACCTCCAAGTATAGATCTACCGAGATCATTTAGAAGTTTAACACATACCAGCAATAGCACGGAGGAGACAATTAACCTAAAACTAACACGTGAAAACTTATCAAACTTATCCAGAATTATGACTGAACTCAGCCTCAGGTGATAGGCAAAGAGGAGACATTTGAACAACTAACATGTGAAAATTTAGCCAACTTATCCTGAATTGTTTCTGAACTCAGTCTCAGGTGATGATGCTAGCCATTGCAGAGTACAACATAACACATCCATCATGAACAATTTTTCTCTGATTTAATTTCTGTTCATTTTCAAGCCTGGGTGACATAACTGCCATGAGCACCGGTGCTATAGAAGTCTCTAGCATTATTATTTATCAAGTGGAATAATTACTTACTGTACTGAAGTTGTTGGCGCTTGGGCAAGGCACTTTATCTACAGTTGCCTATCTCCACCAAGGAGTACAAGTGGGTACCTAGTAGGTTCGAACACAACTGCGCTGATTACTAGCTACAATATTATGGAATAATAATATAATTTAATTTAATAATTTAATTTGGTCTTGAGTATGTGTTCCATATGTGTTTGATCCAATGACCGGGGTAGTAATTTGATGCGCTTGGAGGCTTTGTGTATGAAGCGCTATATAAGAACAACATATTATTATTATTATATCTGCTAGGTGATTGACTTAATTCTCATCATCTGTATTCCAGTGGATTTCTGAAGAGAAGACAGTACAGTAATTGACTAATAAAAATGAATTGCCATTCAAATGACTATCTCCTGGGCAGTGGCGTATCTAGGGGAGGGTGCGGGGGGCCCCAAAAAATTGCGGGGGCCCCAAAAATCACAGTCAAGTAGTTAAAAATCACCTAAATTCACCATATTTTAGAAATTAGCGCCCCTCAACTGATTATCGAGCCCCCCCCCCCATTTTAAAGCTTCTAGATACGCCACTGCTCCTGGGCAGCCAGGCTACATTTCTGGCTGTTCTTTGTGATGTGCACAAGTTATGCTACAAGATGCAAATTGCATACTGTGTTTAGGAACCTTGGTGTATGTACTCCACACAAGTTTCCAAAGAGACGTGTTGATCGATGTGCAGTGTCATCTCACATTGTATACTAGTATAAATTTAAGAATATTGAAATTTGTAAATAGCAAATTATAAATTATATTTATAATGTCATGTATATTTATTGCCAGATGTGAACAACATTTATATGTGTTCAGAGAAAAATAAAATGTTAAACCTAAAATTATTGAGCCTAAATTGTTTTGTGTATGTGTGTGTGTGTGTGATTTCTGAATGTGTGATAATTGCATGCAAATCATTTATTCTAATTCTAATTACCTGTACTGTATTGTGAAGGCACTGGTAAAGAATAGATTATTTAATTTATTAGCATTATGGTACAGATTCAGATCTATAATGTTCCATAATTATGGTACAAATATGGCAAAGGAAGAAAGGAAATGCTTTATGATCTAAAAAATGGTAGATATGACACATTGAAAATTTAAGACTAGCACAAGGTCGTGAAGCATGGAGAACATTATGATAATTAGGGCCTATAGGACAAGACCTGACGGTATGATGATGATAATGGCAAGGGGAAAACAACAGCATGACGTTTTAAATGATTTCTAGTGCACTACACCTGTCCTCAAGTATACTACCACTTTTTTATATATTGTTTTAGGTTCTTGAAATTCATAAAGAGCTGTATATTACATAATTGTATTCAACATACTGTAGTGGGGGAGGATGTGTTGAGAAGTATTGAAACAATTGAAATATAATCAAGAAAAGCTAGTTTTCATGAATACTCATTACCATCTATGGAAGAAAGAGCAGAATATGTATTTCAGACAGAATGTAATGAGGGATAAACTTGTATAAAATTCGGATAGGACTCTGACTGAAAGAAGGCATCGGGAGAATTAGAGGAAGCTTAAAAGAGGAGAAATGAGACAGAAACGTCTTTGTCATAGGAAACGAATGTGAAAATTACTAACAGCCATTGAAAAAAGGCCATAGGAAAACGATCAAGTTGAGTTTTTACATGGTAAAGTCTCTTCAAGCAAAGCTTTAGACATCGAAAAAAACTTCTTTAATCAAGAAAAAAAAAAATTGTATTATTAAAGGAGCGCTACCCTGTTATCACTAGATTCAGTTTGAGATGAATGGACACCAGATTTATTGGTCAGGTTGACCTGGAAAGTAGCGAAATCTCTTATATTATTTAAGTTATAGGCCTATTCAAATTCTGAGAGCAAAAATAATAAACTATGCCTATTTTTTATCCTACAGTGTCAAAATGCTCAAGACACTATACACTGCTTTATTTAAGACATGTTGGTATTTGAAATACAGTTCGCTCTCAAATAATTTGAGACCACTTTTTGAGAGTGGTCTCGGGGTTCGGTCTTCAATTAGAGGGTTAGCTTTGTGTTAAAGGGTTGAAGATTGTTATTTAGTTCTTCGAAAAAGTGGTCTCGAATTAGAGGGGCTCATTTAGAGGGGTCTCGAATTGGAGGGTGCACTGTATCACCGTTTTATAGCCCACCAATATTAAGAAACCTTTATTTATATGGATAAAATAAACTTAACAACATTTGTTAATGTTGAAGTTCGAATTTTTCAAATTGCACAGTATTTATTAAAAAAACAAAACTTGGTCTTGAATTGGAGGTCTTTTTGTCACGTTGTACTTCCGCAAATTTGGTCTCGGTCTCGAGGGTGGGCTCAGTGTTAAAAGATAGTTGGTTAGTTGGTGGGCCTACTAGTACTTTAAAAAAGTGCTCTCGAATTAGAGGGGGTCTCGAATTGGGACTGTATCTTCTCTGTGGAAAGAGAGATTGTGTCGCTTAAAAATGTTGAAATGTGGGTGTATGTCAAATTCCTGGATTCAGTTTGTTTGTTTTTTTTTTTTTTGTTTTTTTTTTAAATCAGGGTTGGATAAATACAATACTGTAGTGTAGTCAGTCTCACTCCAAAATACTGTACTCGTAGTACAGTATTATAATGGTATAATGTAGTCTCGCGCTAAGTAAAGCAAAGATCTTATAAGCGCTATCTTGTGTTTATAAGATCTTTGAAGTAAAGTAATCATTACTAGAGGGCGCTATTTTTCTGGTAACAAACACTCTTATTTAGCTGTAAATCATAAAGCTTTTGAATAATCTTTCTATTAACGTATTGTACAAAATGTAGAACCAGGGAGTTGTTACAACTCCTTGGTTAAAGCATAGAGCAAAGAAACATTTGTTGGCTCTATGGGTAAAGATAAAGCCACATGTGTGATGAGCTACTCCAGACTTTTCGCTCGACTTTTATCTATAGTATGAATATTAATTATTCGACAGCCAATCAAAAATCACGAGCATCAAAACATAAAAAAAACAAACAAAACTGAAAATGATGGCGTCCCCAGTGAAGTTACCGTAAACATGACAGAAAATCCTCTCATTTTAGACTTTGCTCTCCTATAAATTAGAAAATTAAAAGCTGCAAATGCAGATGCTGTTTATGAATTGAATCTGATAGTTTACTTGGAGTAGGTAAGGATGTCAATTTATGAATTAGAAGGTAGCCTACTATGCGGCAATTAACTGAACGCCGAACCAATGAATGGAAGTTTATGTAGGCCTGGGCATACTGCTGATGATAAGGCCTACCGTAGGCTCCTGTGTGGTGTCAGGGCCCACTCTAGGCCTAGAGTGTACAAAGGCAAAGTAACTGTTGGCCTAGGTATATGCTTGGTTAGTGAATGGAGTAATTCTTCAATTGGAAAGTATCGGGAACGAAGGAGGATAGCCTAACTTCTAAGCATCTAGCGGGAGAAAGAATAATGTACAATTTCAATGAATTAAAATAAATGTTTGGCAGTGGACATTTTTTTAGCCGTTGTTAAAATGTCACTGTTTTAGTTCACACTACACAAATTTTATTTTGTGATTATTATCAATATTATAGTGAGCACAATGGTAAAATAAACACATTTTGTAAATGTTTTGGAGCCAAAACAAAATGTTTTTATTTTTTAGATATAAAATAAGGGCGCTAGTTCAGTTTTGCCTCCAGCAGTGAAACCGTTAACTAAGTTATTTAAAACATACCATTATTCAACAACCAATTACGTGTTCTTTTATGAAGTATCTTAACCTTGATATGAAATAAACAATGCAAATAAAATTATTTATTTTGTAGTTAAGCAAGCTATTTTCTTGGCTTTAGTATGTATTGATACAATAAAAAAAAATTTGAAGAATTAAGGCAGCAGCTAAACAAGTTGCAGACAGGAATGAAAAGGTACAGTGAAAAACTGATGAAATATCTATGGCATTATAAGGCATGATGTAATTGGGGAAAAAATTGATGAAAATTTAGGAACAAAGTACTGTACTGCAAATTGCACAAATGCATTGAAGATATTTTACTGTACAGTAGACATAGATCTACAATAATGCCTGTTGCCTTAAGCACTAAGTTGATGTTTATGTATTTTTAAATTTATAGGTCTTCATACCGTACATTTCTACAGAGTGCAGACATACCATGACCTCTGACCTCTGATTCATTTGCCATCCCTGTCCCCCATCCAGTGTAAACAATGGAAAGTTATACAGATGATAGTAATGTCGCCCTAGATCAGTCATCAGGGACCAACAATAATAACTCTAAATCACAGTTAAACCAATTTTATGTGTGTGCCAACTGCTGTCAAGCATTTGCAAGGTAAACATTTTTTTATGTCATCATTTATTATACAGTAATATAAATATTTATCATCAGCTTGCTTAAATATTATTCAACAATTGCCACTGTAAGATCACTACTCCAGACTGTATAGTAAGGCCCGCATGGGGAATATATCCGCCACGCAAAAATTTGGCCTGGAAGTCCGTCCACACATTTCGGGAAATAAGGGCCAATTTCAGCGCCGATTTTTTTTTTCGAAAATTAGACTTTGACCAAATCTTAATATATAACCAATGCAGTTATGCAGTAGTTAATGATTCCGCGCACCTATTTTCCGCGCAAATTTGGTCCGATTTTTTTAGGTATCCTCCGCGCAATTAAAAAACTTTACACTATGGTCACTACTTGTATTTTAATTTTGTTTTTGATTCAAGATTGAATTATGTTACTGATTGTACTAAAGCTCTGTCCAGACTATCAAATTTTATTTGACAAAAAAATGTTGTATGCCCATATATGGTCATGATGTGCCTATTTATGGCCATGATGTGATGTCATCATGACCATATTTAGGCATGTTTTTTTTAAGGACAAGGCTTAATTAACTTTGCTTGCATTCTTTCTACAATAAACAAGAGTGATCTATGCATTGAGGTGAATTCACATTTTCATATTTTCTTTTCAAAGTACTAATGATTTACGCAACCATGTTGCTGCAAACTGCAATACAACCTATGAGAGCTCAAAACTAGAGGTCAAAGGTCAGTTAAATATGCAAATGTCTATCACCCACCCTTAGTTTTCTACAGCTACAACCCTACACTATAATCATTAATAGTTCATATAAATATTATTGTTTATGTATTTAACTGTATTTGTTGATAGGAAAAAAGGAATGGTGTTGACAATAGCACACATACAGTACCCTACTGACAAATAAAGTAATATTGAAAAAGGGGCAATACTTTCTCTCACTAGCCACAAGATCATCAATGCAATATTTATTAATTTTTAAAATATTCTTTAGCCTAGGTTAAAACACTTCTATTCAGAGTGATTAAACATAATAAATCAAGATACAAACAAAATAATTCCACATATTTAGTGCTTATCATTTAGCACCCTGGATGCTTAGAGAGTTTTTCATGGCCAAAAATATTGTTGTGTTAAGAACATTTGAAAATCAGGGTCAGTCAGCAGGTTGGTTGGGGTTGTTTCTTGACTAAGGTATAATTCTATTGACTCACCGCATTTGTTTTGTTCTGGTTGGTGAAGAATTGATTGAGCTAACATCTACTAATTAAAGCTTGAAATAAGTGACCTTTTTAAACATGACAAATATTTTGGGCTCCTTCCAAAAAAAATGTTTGTGCAAAAAAAACTTCACTCTAGAAGAACTTTTTTCTTGGCCTAAAATTAGCAATGGATATGTTAGTCTCATATAGCCCAAAGTAATATGTAAGTATAGAAAATATATAATATTACGTTAGAAATGTATGACATTATAAACTTTCTATATAATAATATATTAATGTGTTTATTATTATTTTTCACAGAATCGCAAAATCAAGTACTAATGCTGACCATAGATCCTCAGAATAACGAGAAACCAAGTGGTGATGCACCATCCAACCCCTCACAGACAATGGTACACTCCTCCATACCAAGCAATCAAGTCCCCACTGATTGGCTTACACAGCTAGCAAATATAGCGACTGGACCCCAGAGTCCACTACTGCAAAAGAGTGATATTCGGTAGATAATCTTGAATGTATAATTCTGTGATTTAGAACAAAGTTACATTGTTTATTCTAGTTTCTTCATTTATACAATAGCAGCCCAAAAAGCTTAATCGGTGTACCAATTTTCGATTTAGTCACATTTTAAACATTTGTAAAAAATGTAAAAATATAAAGAATATACAGTAAGAAAACATCAAGAATATGATTAAAAACATAATAAAGAACTTTATTGATAATTAATACAATCCTTATAGAAATCATTATAAGTACGGTAAACAGATACACAATATCAGAAATCAGCTACTGGCTTATGAGGTTGGTGAGGAAAGTGATAGCACTACTCTTGTACCTTTTTCTAGTAAAACAAAGATGGTCTTCAAACTTACGTTAAAACAACAAGACGAAATATATTCTTTGTAGTTACGACATATTTATTAATATTAGCAATTAATTTCTTCCAGGAGTCCTGCAATGAATTTTAATCAGTTGATGCATACCTATGCTAAGCCACCGAGGTCCCATGACGCCACATCCTCTTCACTTGAGAATGAAGAATTCCAATCAAGGGTGTTAACGCCTTTAAATACAATCGAGCCAGAAAGCGATGACAGGGTGTCTTCTTCTTCACCTTTTCCTACTTGTCCAGAGGATTTTGAGTCAGGCCATGGGACCTGGTCCCACACATGGCCCTCAGCTGTATGGCAGTGCTTCATGAAAGGTAAACCGGGTAAAAGAAATAATTATAATAATGATGATGATGGTGATAATAATTGTAATAATTTGAATTCAGATTCAGATTATTTATTGCCATAACACACAAAAAAATATAGTATGAAATTCTTTTTCCCAGTTGTGACAGTACACACACATATTGAAAAACATACACAAATTGCACTAAATATCATACTTTTTAACGAAAAAAAGAGTAAAATAGACAAATATATACAGTATGTGACAAACATAAGCCAAACCAGTCACTTGTCACAAAAATTGATTTTTAGCTATTAATACAGGTTATTAAACATTACTGTAAATGAGAGCTATAAAATGGTAAATGAATCATTTAAATCCAACATTTTCTTATGAAGTTACAAGCGTTTATTAACATACAGCTATTTAAAGAAAAATATTTGAGAAATCAGCCTTCAAATTTTATGATTTCGGGCATTTCTCAGGCAGAAATCATCACAAAATCGTTAAAAATTGTTGAAACATTGAAAATAGGCAAATTAACATCATAGCATGATTTATAGATATATAAAAGGTTAGTTTAGTGGAATAAGATAGATTTCAAAAATGTTGACAGTTCCAGCATGTTTTGGTCATTATCTCTAAAACACAATTTGCGACAGAGCTGAATTTTATGTATGAAAAGGTAGGATGGTAATGTTGATGGTAATTGTACAGTAAATACTAACTATAATAGCAACTTCATTCAATTGAGACACAAATTTGAAAATAATGTTTTCTCTGATAAGAATACTGCAAATATTACCAGCCAGGTCTCTGCAAAGAATATTGGAACTGTTCATGCCTTTTCTAATTAGCAAGGAAAATATTTCCATGTTGTCAGTTGATAGCTATTTATATACATACTATGAATACTAAGTGAACAATTCAAATGAACACAGACAATATTTATCTTTAATGAACACATACAGATGGTTTGATGAAAGCAAACAAATAACACATCACGATCATAATATCAGAAACTTAGTTTAATAATGGTATAATTTGTGCAGCAGTATTATTCATCTGTTATTTTTGAGTGAAGCACAATGTCATGGGCAACTAAACTGTTCATTGTTTCATTATTTTGTCTTTTTTTAAATAGCATTTTTATGTTATACTGGGTGGCTTGTTCAGTAGAAAGTCTACTGTACTTCCATAAGGCCCACTTTTTGGAGTCTCATAAGAGAGGTTGTTGGGGTTGTTTTAGTCCTGAGAAATAAATCCTATTGTCACAGGAATTGAACCCAGAACTCTGGAATTGGAAGGCAGGCATTTTAACCACCAAGCTACTTAACTCCACTCTCAATTTTCTTGTTCCAACTTTTACTGAAAGCTATTCATTTTATACTTACATTTACAAAGTAAATAATTCAATATTGACATTAATCGTTTTATGAACATGGACATATCTTTAAATAGCAGTGTGCTTTTTTTAAGGTTCCCTCATACGGTTCACAACAGGCCATAAAACTGAATGGCAGTTAGCTGAAGAGATTGGTAGAAAAGAGCTGTTAGCAAAGCAAGCTTATCAAAGTAGTGATCTCGATTCAGACAACCAATCAGCAACCAGAATATATGCACCTAACGGTCTTACGCTGGAACGTATAGAGGAGATAGAACCAGCTGCTTTGTCAGTGGACGATTCAATACCGGAAGAGATGATTCTAACATTCAACACCAATGGCACAGAACCAGAAACATTGCAGGCACATTGTCCTATTGATCATCCATTCTTTGTTAAAATGAAGGGTAAACATCTCCACTTATTGAAAAGTACACAATTTGTATAGCAGCTTTCCATGCACTATTCAAAATTAGTGCATAAAGAAATTGACTTAGGCCCATTAACTCTGCATCACAAAAAATGATGACAATTTGCTTATAATTATGATTAATGATGTCAAAGAAAACCTAAATTGCTATTTTGTATGATAAATAGAAACAGTGGAGAAAATATTCATACCATAAAAACGGTATAAGCAATACAAGCGTGGTGTATAAAAGCCAGTTATATAATGAAGAACTTTAAGTATGAATTTAATGTGAGCCATCTAATAAGACAATTAAACAGTAGTTATATGAAAAAGTGTCTGAAACAAAATTTAGGCAATTAACCTGAAACTTGCAATGTAAGTCATTGTGCTGAATTTAATTGGTGTCAGTGATGGATCCAGGAATTTGAAATAGAGGGGGGCGAGGGAGAAACTTTCACAGGTAGAAGGGTTTTGACCACCTCAGGCCTACTGACGTAAGAAATTTTATGATTATGGCACTTCTAAATGGCCGGAAATAGCACTCTCAGATTTAATTTGAATATAATTTATATTTTTGATAAATTTAGAGGGAGTGTGGCCCTGGGCCTGCCTCTCCCCTCCCTTTGTGCATCCGTGTCATAGTGAGTATCTTTACTTATTAGTGGCATCTTTTCATGAGATGGAGTGAACAGGAGCACCGAGGTAACTCCCTACTGTTTTGAAAGATGTGCTGGGTTCTCATGAGCCAGATAGGTACACTGATCTGCTGTTGTTGAGTTCTCATCTGAGAAAACTATCAATCGAATCATAAGCGAGGCAGTTCTCAAAACCAGTGTTGATGTTAAGATTACGGTGCCTCCGCCTAATTGCTCAACTTGCCCATTTGCATAAGTTGTCTGATAAAATGTGTAGTGTAATTATTCTTTTAGGGTGGTCTTCCTACAACCCGCTGCTAACAGTTGAAAAATATGGGATTCCCTGTAGCGAACTGGAAAGTGGAGACATCTGTATACCGCCCTCACATCCCGATGCTATCAGTTTCAAAGAATCAAATGTCTTTGAAAGTTTTAAAAGGTAATAATTCAATATTTTTTGTTATCGATTTTCTTTCTTTCTTTTTTTTTTTTTAAAGGAAAGAATAATGATTTGCTTTGTGTTGTGTTTTTAATAAATTTTGGTTTTGGATTGGTTTTTTTAAAAAGTTAAATGAAATAATTGGGAAATGCTTGTACACTACATACATTTTACATGGTTTAACACAAAGCATTTAACAATATTACTGTATTCCCATACAATCCTATACGCAATACATGTTGTCATACATTATTCATGAATTGAGAACAGGCACTAATGTTTTATTCATGTATTGCAGCTTTGATCTGACACCATTGGACACTTCAACCGTCCTGGCCCTCAGTAGTTTAGCCCGTCAACGCCGTGATATAGAAAGTAACCAACCAAAAAGTGCACCACCCTCGCCAGTTAAGAAGTCGCGTAAGGTAGATCCTAACCGTGGGAAGAGGCCTATGAATGCTTTCATGTTGTTTGCCAAAAAGTTCAGACTGGAGTATACACAGATGTATCCAGGGAGAGATAACAGGTGAGATTGGTTATATAACTAGACTTATTTAACAATTGTGACTGGCTCTGGCAAAACCAGCTGTTTGTAGGGAAAATTTTAAATTGGGTTGTTTGGTGTTTTTAGATTCTGCATGAATTCTTCTTTAAAACAGTGTTTATTTGATGGCAATTGGTTGAGTATTAGCAAAGTTATGAATATTTAATTCTCTGGATATCAGCCTTGTAGATTTTGAGAAAACAGCTTCAGAAGATTCCAAAATCAATAGTTTATTATTAAGATTTGTATTTTAGAACTCATTTTAATATACTTTTAAGTTAGATTTAGTGATAATTACAATACAGTATGAACATTTTGATACTACAGTATTAAATTGGATGATAATGATAATTATACTTGAAAATTTTAATTGTCTTATCTGTTAACAGGGCCATCAGTGTGGTATTAGGAGATGAGTGGAAGAAATTAGGCAGTGAAGAGCGGAAATTATATGCAGAGGAAGCAAAATCATTGGCTGAGGAGCACAAAAAGAACCACCCAGATTGCTGGAAGAGAAAACGCCATGCCTCAAGTGTGAGTATATTTTGTGCTTGTGTTTATGGTGGTGCATTATTTTTAATTCACCAGCAAATATTTTTTGGTTTATTTATTAATTATATAAACTGTTTACCAGGGGTTGGTTGATACCTAATATGCTCATCTTTTATTTTCTAAGCCTCATGTTAAGACTGACTATGTTTTGCTTTAACGATAAGTTCAGTTATGTATTACTTAATAAATTGAACGTTTGGTACACCATGAGTAAGGATATGATGTTGAGGTAAAACCACTGGTTGATTGTCCCAATAAGATTGCTCTGACTGTCATTAGCAGAATGAAAATAGATGACTTCTGTTTGTCCTAAATAGAGAATGGTAATTGTCTGTGATTCATTGGTAATGTAATAATGATACTTGCCATGCAAACTTTTAAAAATGTATCAATTTTTAACATTTATTTTAAGGGTTAATATATTTCACCACCATTATGTTTAAGAAAATATATTTTCACAGTTGGATGTTTATGTTGTTTTTCAGAGTGTGTAAAGTAATGGTAGTGATGCATTTATTGCAACCCTTAATTTGATCAGCTTCAACACTGACTCATGGAAAATTCCCAGTGGTAGAATTTGGTTATGAATCAAGGGAACATAAAGAGAAAAAAAACTTCTGGTGATTTTTTTTATTATCATTCTGATATTTCCTCTGTTCGTCTCTTTGCATTTAGTCAGATGCTTTCAAAGTATACAGTATTGAGTGCCTAGCCTAAGCCATGGCTTGATAAATTATCACAGTGCCTTTGAATTTTGTGTGTTTGCTTTGTGCACTCTTGATTATTGTATGGAAATAGATACTTTCATTCAAGTGTATATTCAATACTTAAACTGAAAGCATAAAATCGGATGCAACAATAATATTAAAGTTTAATGGTGTTGAGATGCAAGTGGTCATTGACATTTAAACTTAGATAATGGGTAAGACAAAGATAAAGGGGAAGGCACTTCAAAGTCTATTAACAAAATTTGCAATTTCGTCTTCCATCTTTCTATCAATTTTTTGTATGGTGTAAAATTTCTTGGATAATTTATTAAGATTGTCACAACCATAATTGGTGCTTTCTTTTGGCATTGTAATCATTCGGGGAATACTTTTATTTAAAAGCTTTTCTCGCACGACTTTTCATAAAACCGGCTGTAATATTAGTGAATTTATCTCAGCTCAATCTTTTTCATATGCATATCATTTTCAATGCAAATTTTACCTCGCGAGGGAAAAAGCAATCTACCATATTTGATGATTTTCTCACTTTAAGGCTGATTATGCAATATGGCATTTTGACAAATGTGCTCAGAGTAAGTGAGCAAAATATCTATTGTGTTGGATATTTTTCAAGTACCAAACAATAACCAAATTTGGTATATCCAGGCACTTACTGCATCTGACGGTCGTCGATGGATAAGATTCTATGGAGAATGCATCACCACGATGCATACACAACAGATATTTTTTAATGACGATCTGTTCAGTCTGCTAACTACAATCGGGTGACAGCGTTCCGTCATCTAGCACTTACTGGAATCGGAGTTGTGAGTACCTGCCTCAAAGTTTATATTGATAGAAGATAGCTCTCTCCGTGCTTACTGTCATCTGGGATAACTTTAATGTTAATACAAAAGTATTCAATTGCGAGTCAGCAAAAAAGTATATTGTGGCAGGTTTTTGGTACAGCTTCTATAAATAAACAGGGTGTAGAAACGTAATCACAATAGTGTTGTGAATTTTTACCTCAATAAACTGGTTAATTGTTGCTATAATTCAAAGTTTATTTATGGACATTATATTTTATTCATTTTCAGTCTGCACTTATATAAAAAGCATACTGTTTAACAAGGTACCTATGCATGAAACAAATATATTCATTATTAATTAATTATTCTATTAATATCAAACAAAAAGTACACTCATCAAGTTTTAAAATGCTAAAAAATGTTTTTGTTTGGCAAGAAACATTGAACTAAACTATGAACTATTTTTTATATGTATTATTTACTACTGGCTGAAGTTTGAATTTATACTTGAATAAATTAGTACAATTCTTGAAGTTATTATGTTCGACAAATTTTAAAATATGGAACATTTTGTAATTACTGTAGTATATTTTATATATAGTTCTTCTGAATTTTATCCTTTTTCCAAAATGATTTTTCATCAAATATATTTATATGAACTTTCAAAAACTTGCCAAAGATATAAACCTAATAGTGATGTATTTAATGATGTATGATAATTAAATACAGGGTTGCATATATATATTCTGAATTTTATCTGAGGTGTTATATTTTAAAGTATATAGAGGTGTTTTATGAAATTTTAATTCTCTGTTTTGTGTTGCATATCATGATTTCCTTTAAATTGCATAAATATTAATCTTTCTTTTTTCAAGATAAACTGCCACCCAAAATATCTAGAAAAAAATTAAAAATCTTTGAATTGTTATTTTTTGAAGAATGCTGTACATAAATATTTTCAATTTTCCTTTCAAAAAAACAAAATTAGTTTACAATGACTTAAGCTCTGTCTCCACTATCAAACTTTATAGAGTACCACAGTCGTGTCGTCGCGACGCCAGGTGGCGCTCTCGGTTGTCAACAGACGTTAGTTACCATTTTAAAATCGAATATTTTACCATCAAAATGTACTAAAAACACAAAAGCTCGCATTATATTAGTTATCAAACACACATTTAATCATCAATTAAAATTTACAAAGAAAAAGATACAACATCCTAATAATTACGTTAGAAATTGGGATCAATGGTTTGTCAGTGGAGAAAATGGCGTCGGGTTGAACGCACTTTGAAACGATAGCAACGGAGTAGTATCACGCGGTATCGTGACGTAACACTGTAGTACTCTATATATATATCTCACAATTTTTTCACATAGGATTTGATAGTGTGGACAGAGCATTATAGACGTTTATAAATTCCTTACATTAGCTAGGAGATTTTTATAATATGTCTCTGTTGTTTTCATTGTAGTTCCAGTTACCTCAGAGTCTAGGTTTTTCTCTAACTGTAGCTTTCACTGTCGCTGTGATTCAGTTATTGGAATGAAGCTGTCACGGCCACAGTGAAAAAGATACAGTAGAGCAAAAACCAAGACTCTGAAAAGGTAACTTAAACAACTATTTAAACGTCCATAAATTTGCGATGAACACATTCTTCTCACGTACTAATATTCAGTTGAAAGATAATAAGTTTTCAAATTATGCAAATTAAGCAATTCAATTTTTTGTTTAATTTTATTAGGTTTACGTGGCAGAATATTTTTAAATAGGTATATAATCTAGGTAAAACCAAGTCTGATTATTATTGTGTTGTCTGTGTATATAAAATATATTCAGTTTCCAGATTATGTTATTGGTAATTTTTAAATTATTGTTTGTAACTTTGTGTTTGATTACTGTACCTTAGAGTAATTTTTTTTTGACTATTTGAAAATGATTTCTCACTTCTGATATTCCAATTTGTTGGCTACTGTAATTGTTTGATTTGCTGTGAATATTGGAGAAACCTGATATAGTAATATTTAGTTCAAATTTAAAAAAATCTTTGTCTTGTAATGTGTTTTTTGATGTGAATCATATGTTTGCGTGTGTGGGGTAGGAAAGGTATGGGGGCAGGTCTGACTATTCTAAAGAAAATCAAGTGTGTAACCCTCAGTGTTCATAATAAAATTACTGTATTGTCGATTCGAAAAATTATATATTGCTTCATTTTATTGTGAAATTAATGTCTTATTGTTTGAAATACTGACACTCCAAAAGGACCAGTTGAAATATAAGATTTAAATTGCTCATTTAAAATTGTCCAACAGGAGACAAATGTACGTTGGGCAACTGCTAGGTTAATATTAGAAATGCGTACATACAAGTAATTCGGTTTTGGGAAAGTCTGACTATGATTTAATTCAGTTGATGTTACAAACAAATCCTCAAACAACAAAAGCTAGGAATCGGGAAAGTGAAAAATGTATGAACTGACGAAAATATTCTTATGGCTGCTGTGTTTAGCTTGCTTTTCATCAATTAAATTTTTCAATTGAATGGATATCACTTTTGTAAAAGTGGCACACGTTGAATAATACTCAACGGTGCATCCAAATATAAGGAAAATAGACTTGAACTAGAAGTAAATTAAACTAAAATGTATATACAAAGTAAAACTTACTAGGAATTTAGAAAAAAAAATCACCAATCAACATGGCATGTACGTGGTAGTCTTACAGTACCGAGTTGCAGTCACGTTAGTAAATATATTTCTACTAAACATAAAAATGACAAGGTATCTATAGCAAATTAATATAGAGCTTAGAACTAATTGTCCCCCTGTTGGGGAATAAACAAATAGAAAACAAAATATTTACATGTAATATTCGTTTAGCCACCATATTGTTTTCATTGAACTATTTGTGTTAACTTACCATCACAATAATAATAATAATAGTTCAATTAGACTAATTAAAAATGATTTGCGTTCTGTTATGACAAATGCTCGTTTGGAAAGCCTCATGATGCTTGGAATACATTGTGATAGGGGAAGCAACCTCGACCTTGACAGCGTGGTTGACAAATTTCATGCAAAATTTCTAAAATGTAGAATTTCACTTTGAAGAATGAGGATTTGAAAATACATCAGATGGTTACATTGCATACTTTTTGTTTCTTGTTTTATTCAAAATGTTTTAGTTTTGGAAGCTGATTTCGACATTTGAAAACATACATCAAATCATATAGTAGAAATAAAAATTCGCCATAATTCGTCAAATATCCTGGACCCCTACCGGGTGTCCTCCTGGCCCCAATTAAGGCCAATCGAGGCTCGCTTCACTCGCCTAGCACCCCCCCCCCCCGTCGGGGCCTTTATAGCCCCTCCGTCGGGCAGATCCTGGCGCCATCACTGCTTGTTGGATATGCTGTTTTGGCCTACAGCGGAAAATTTGAACATTCGTAGATAACTACGTCTAATATGAATCTTTTGAAAGCTATGCAAAACCTGTAAGCGACGGCAGAAGAACATCAAACGGAAGAAAGTTAATATAATTATTGAGTTACGAATTTCTTTATATGTATAACATGTTTTTATTTAAGTAAACATTCTGTGGAGCTGCAGGTTGGCTTATTGTATTTTACTTTACCATTTCGGATCGTGACAATAAAAAAGACAAACTTAAATGATCCCAGGAAATCACAGATTTCGCCTTTCTGACTTCCAACTCGTAAGCAGTTATATTACTTTCTGATATTGAAAGTGAGGGGTATCAAAACCCACCTAAATAAAAATAAATAAATAAATAAACTACCTAAATTCCAAACCTTCGAATTCAAGGGACGACATCGGAAGGATGGATGCAAGAAGATTCAAAATGGATTGCCAAAAACATGACAAACATTCTGCAAAAATAAATAAAAGTACTGTTTAGTCAGAAGGGTACCTAGAATGGTTTAACGAAATAGTAAATAATTTACATTTATTTGATGTTGAGCCAATTAAATGATTTTTATACAATCTTTTGACTATCAAATTATTTTATATGAATTCCATAGCAAGAATAAACGCTTTAGCAATTCAATTCGAATGTATCTCTGGCTGGATCTAGCCTGGTATCGTGAGAAAAGAAAGAGAAGTAGCCTTCCAATCGATACAGTCACTTGATTCGCTACAATGCCTTTATAGATCATTTGCACCATGTTTGAGGAATACCCTAGTTTCGAGTTCCGTTTAAAGTTGATTGTTTTTCGTGGTCGAATTCCTCAATTACTTTTCGATAAATTCTCTGCTTTTTCATTGTAGTTTTCGGTTTGTTATTTCTCCGTCAGTGTTACTGTATATGTATTGAAGCTTCACAGTTTTTGGACGTTACAACATTAGGTATTTTCTTTTATGCCAGTTAAATCGAAGGGTATCTTTTTACAAGATAAATAAATAAAGACATCATTTAAAACTCCTTTAGAGAATAGGAGAATATTGAATTGCTTATCGATTTCGTTGCTGTGTTGCTGATTGTACACCGGCCTTCAATGTTTCCGATCCGATCACAAATCCTAGATAATCGTAATCAATTATAGCGACTACAGTAAATAAGCAAGATGGTCTGCGGGTGACCAACCATACATCGTCGAACGTAACCATGGTAACGTATCGGAGAATTGTGATTGTTGTAGGCCTATTAAGTCTATATTCTTGAAAATCTAAGGATGGCCAATCATACAGCATCGAACGTAACCTTTGGTAACTTATCGGAGCAGAAAATGTGATTGTATTGTAGGCCATGCTCTAGACAGTGGTGGTTTTGACGGGAACCCGTTAAGATAAACACAAAATGAGGTATGTCATAGTATTGATATAGCATTTTATATAATTATATTTTTATCGATATCCTTATTTTATACTTTAGCAATAGACATCAAATTTATAGGCTTATATATATATATATATATATATATATACACAATATGTATA